CCGGCCCCAGGCGGCGACACCAAAATGGCGGCGGCTCCTCCACCGCCACCGAGCGTCCGGCGACGCCCGCCCCCCGGCCCGCGCGGCGGGGGCGGTGCCGGCGCGTGCGCGCTGCCGCTCCCCTCAGGGTACCGCGCGGTCAGCCCTCACCCACAAAAGGAGCAAGCACCAGAATATTTATACATTTATTTATAATGAAAGTATGTTTCTAATTATTTACAACACATAGGAAAGACAACCTTTGTACAAGTGAGACAGCAAGGTCTGTCCGTGCACGGCAGCGACGCACGGCCCGATTTTTAAAATGGTTTCCAGAGCTGCCGCAGTCCCCGGCGTCGCCTCTCCCCAGAGGGGCTCTCCCGGCAGAGCGCTCTCTGCAACAGCCCGCCCTGCGCTCCACGTCCATAACGAGTCCAACAGTTCATCCCCAGGCCGAGGGGAAGGAGTGGGGCTGCGCGGGCCCATGCTGCGGCATCTCCTTCCAGCAACAGGGCAGAATGGAGCAAGTGGGGGAAGAGATGGGGGCAAACCTCCCAAGAAGGGGTTCAGTCCGACGCGACCCGCCACAGGGGAAGGAATCCGGGGGGGGTGTGTGTGTGGGGGGACACTGGAGAAAATTCAGCAGCCCCCCTGGGGAGCAGCAGCAAGATGAACCCCTCCAAAAAGCCCAGCATCCCCCCACCCCAGCATCTGGCTAGAAGAAGTTGTGGGGTTAGTAAAACCACATTTGAAAGGAAAAAAAAAAAAAAACCAACAGAACTCAGTGCTGATTTACAGGAGATGCTTAAAGTAAAAACAAATTAGGAGTTTTAGGAAATGTGATCCTCAAGTTTTTCAGAACTACTGTATATTCCTTTCCTTTGTTGAAAGTCAAACGTTGAAGCCAGGGTCGCCATTAGCTCATGGAGACTGCAAAACACAGGCTGACAGCAAGAACGCTCAATAGAATATGAACACCAGGTGTAGAATGCAGTCAGTGAGACCGACTCTTTCCATTTGTAGGTTATCCTGGAGAACACAGGCCAACAGGCTTCCCCAGCTTCTCTTTACAGTACTTCCCCCATTGTATAAGGGACTAGCCCTGTCAGAGTACTATTTCAAATATTCTTTTTAATTGACAAATTCACTGCAGAAATAAGGATTTTAAAAAATAATGGAGCCCTTTCAAGGGGGATACAGAACCTTTAGCTTCTGCAAATGTAAAAACAACGTGTATTTGCAAAGTCTATTCTGTAATATACATGCATTATTGCTAGAGGGGAAAAAAAAAAAAAAAAGATGAATGAAAACTCTTCTGCAGCTTTTATGGTGCCATCCAAAATGGCATCTGTTGTTTAGCTCGCTGTTGTGAGGAAGGGTACTGGTATCCCAAACTCCATCCCTGTGAAAAAGTACTTGCGTTTTTATGGCCACCATGTTCCTCCTCTTCATCTGATGAATCTCCAGCATATGCCACTAATCCAAAGCCCTTTTCTGCAGTTTTCATCTTCTTAGCTTGATGATCTAGGAGGGGAAAACAAAACAATCCCCCAAGCCCCCCAAGAAGGAAAAGTAAAAATAAAAAGATATGCCCCAAAATGAGTTAATAAAAAAGAGACGTTAATTGTAAATTGTTAGTTGGACACCATTTTGAGGTCACAAGGCCAATGGTCATCCAAGGTCGAAGGCCACACGAAACACCACCAGCAACAGCACATTTGATCCATCAGAACCATGTAAGAGAACAGAGAAAGAAGAAAGAAACACACAAAAAAGGTAAAGTTAGCAAATGGGTCTAAGTGATGGCAATTTCACCGTTAAAGAGATAAATATGTAAAGAAAAGCAGAAATTTTGTTCAAAAGAAAGCTAACAGAAGAGCAATCTCTGGGATCAATACTGCAGAAAAACTAAGGTTAAACAGGCTAAGGCGATGCACCTGCAGACCTGAAAGGTGCTAAACTACCAGAAGAGTTGAAATGATTACATGTTTTACCAAGTTGAAAATACTTGATGTATGACACAGCCCTAGGAAAGGATGAAATCTGACAGCACTTGTATTGTTTGCAGACACAGCTCATGTCTGTAAATACACACCTGAACCATAACTCCCACCGATACTCCTTAGTGCCTCTAGAGATAGCTGCTCACAATGCAAAGCCACATGATATCTGTGTTACAAAACAATCCTATGAGATTCTCTGCCTCAGCTGACTGATGGATCAAAAATACCTGTCTTTAGTCCTTCACTTAATTACACTCTACTCCGTCATACAGTTATTTATTGAAGTTTTAAGAGAAGCACCTTATGTGTATAATTACAGCAAACATCAGTGATTTTAGAGCAGTGCAATATGACTTGCTTTTCACTTCAACAATGAGGTACAAAGAACAGGAAAAAAAAAAAATCACCTATTCAAACAAACGTTAAGACCAGTGCAAACTCATTTTGGGAAAGAAAACTTGACTTACAAGTCTATTTTATTCATTGCACTCACCATGGTTGCCTGGTAAAGACCCCGCACCGTTTCTTTCTTCAGATTCCGATTTCATCCCACTGACAGGAAACGCTGGCGGAGGCATCAACTGCCTATTTAAACCAATGCAAGCCCTTATTTTTTCTTTTTTTTTAAAAAAGGCAAAGAGTTGATGGTAATAGCAAACAAATTCATAATTCAGTCCTTGACCTGAGCAGTTTAACTTTTGTCTGACTAATCTAGTGGCCTTCTATGATGGAGTGACTGCACCACTGGACAAAGGAAGAACAACTGGTGTTACCTACCTGGACTTCTGTAAGCTCTTCAATACAGTCCCCCCAATATTCCTGCCTCAAAATCAGAAAGACGTGACTATTTGATGGCTAAGGAACTGGCTGGATGGCTGCATCCAAAGAGTTACAGTTGACTGCTTGATGTCCAGGTGGACACCAGTAACAAGTGGTGTCATTCAAATACTGGGACCAATACTGTTTAATGTCTTCCTCAATGACATAGACAGTGGGATCAAGTGTACCCTCAACAAGTTTGCAGGTAACACCGAGCTGTACAGTCTATACGTTAGAGGAACTGGATGCCATCCAGAGGGACCTTGACAGGCTTGAGGAGTGGGGTCATGTGAACCTCATGAAGTTCAACAAGACCAAGGTCCTGCACCTGGGTCAGAACAACCCCAGCTGGTGACGAAGGGATGGAGAGCAGCCCTGCAGAGAAGGACTTGGGGGCACTGGTGGATGAGAAACTGGACACAAGGGCTGGATGGCTGCATCCAAAGAGTTACAGTTGACTGCTTGATGTCCAGGTGGACACCAGTAACAAGTGGTGTCATTCAAATACTGGGACCAATACTGTTTAATGTCTTCCTCAATGACATAGACAGTGGGATCAAGTGTACCCTCAACAAGTTTGCAGGTAACACCGAGCTGTACAGTCTATACGTTAGAAGAACTGGATGCCATCCAGAGGGACCTTGACAGGCTTGAGGAGTGGGGTCATGTGAACCTCATGAAGTTCAACAAGACCAAGGTCCTGCACCTGGGTCAGAACAACCCCAGCTGGTGACGAAGGGATGGAGAGCAGCCCTGCAGAGAAGGACTTGGGGGCACTGGTGGATGAGAAACTGGACACAAGCCAGCAATATGCGCTTGCAGCCCAGAAAGCCAATCACGTCCTGGGCGGCATAAAGAGAAGCATGGCCAGCAGGCTGAGGAAGGTGATTCTCTCCCTCTACTCTGGTCTCAAAATCCCACCTTGACCACTGCATCCAGCTTTAGGGTCTCCAGCACAAGACATGGACCTGTTAAGAGTGGGTCCAGAGGAGGCCACAAAAATTATCTGAGGGCTGGAGCCCCTCTGCTGTGAGGACAGGCTGAGGGAGTTGAGGTTGTTCAGCCTGGAGAAAAGAGGACTCTCTTTCAATACCTAATTGGGCCTTACAAGAAATATGGAGAGACTTTTTACCAAGGCCTGTACTGACAGAACATGGGTAATGGCTTTAAACTAAAAGAGGGCAGATTTAGATTAGATATAAGCAGTAAATTCTTTCGTGAATAGTGATGATGCACTGGGTTCCCAGAGAAGCTGTGGATGCCCCATCCCTGGAAGTGTTCAGGGTCAGGGTGGATGGGGCTTTGATCAATTGGATCTGTAGAAGGTGTCCTTCCCCACGGCAGAGGGGGTGGACTGCATGATCTTAAAGGTCCCTTCCAACTCAAACTATGCTATGAAATAAAGTGCAAACCCAACAGTTTTGTGGCTCAATGCGCTGGAGTGCATAAGGACAAGCAGTGATGCCCAATGACTTCAAACAGCCATGCTGAATTTAGGACTACATACAAGATGGAGAACATAGGAAGCTTTACCAATACCCTTGATGAATTTCATAATGACCAGAAAACAAGAGGGACTATCAAGTATGTATTTCCCCAAAACTTCAGGCTGCAAAATTTCAAGTTTACAACTTTTTCACATTTGTTTTAAAATTAGAATAATTTAAAGTAAGTGCTAACCTATTTCACAAGAATATCCTGTTATCTCAGGAAGCTGGCAAAATACCAGATGCAGACAAAGTAAAGAGCATACAGACTTAAAAGTAGTGGAAATTAAGCAATTTTCATTATGTAGCATGAAAAAGTAACCCTTGCATCCCTTCTCCTTAAAAAAACCTGAACAACAAGAAAACTACCCACAAAACCCCACCCACAACAAAACAAAAAACTGCCCTAATCCCCAAGTCAGAGGAGAGAACATGAAACACAGATCGTCTCTGAAATAAGCTTTCCAACAGAATCAGAAAAGACCTGAACATAATTCCTTTATCACTCACCTGTCCCTCTCTCTCTCCTTTCCTGAGGAACTTGCTGGCTTCGATCCGGCTCCATTGATTTCACTCTGACTGGAGAAGCCTGTACCTAAATTAGTCATATGAATGGGTCCATGCTATGAGCAGAAAAACACACGGCATTAGCAAATCTACAACTATAACATAAGCTATAGCTCCTTAATGATAATGATAGGAAACCAAACTTCTCAGAGCATACTGCCAACTAGCAGAAGAAACCACTAATCACCATTGTTAAACAAAATGCTTTCTCCTAAAAATACTGAGGGCAACATAGTAAGAAACACACCTGAGCACCAATATGGAGACACCTGACGACCTACTCCATCTTTTAAGCAGTTCGGGACAGTAAAGATAGCTGCTTCCTTCACAGATCAACTATCTCCTCAATCTGAATCTCCTCATTCTGCATCCTGTACAGACCTCATGCCACAGTAAACTCTGCTCGAAACATTACTATTAGGCCTAACATACAGGCACTTCCTTATTGTCTCTAGGCAAAGCTTTTCTTACGGGTTTCTGCCTGTGAGCAGGGGTATATAATTAGAAAAGCATTTGCAGAAACTAACTTTTCTCACATACAGACCTGAAGAACTCAAATTATTTTTATTAAAATCAACTGCTTAAAATTCCCTATTTAAAAAAATAATAATATCAGTATCTTAAAACTAGGCTTCTTGAAATCCTCTCAAGTGCAACCTGCAAGAAAAGTAAACAGGAAAATCTGGAAGTTATTACCACACTTCCCTCCCGCCCCTCAAACAAGCCTACCCAAAAGACCCACAAAAACCCAATCAAACCCTCAAATAATCTCCCTTTAAACTAATCAGTAACACACTATTGTCATCTAATTGACCTGAACACTTTTTTTCAGGAAAGATTGAGGGTATGGAAAGCAAGCTGCCAATGAAACAAGTCAGTCACAGTTTAAGAACAGTGCATCTCCTCAAAAGAAACCACAGCATGGTCTCCACCTTGTGTAACAATTGCTGCCATGTGCCAAAGGTCTTGCATGACTGCTGCTAAATAAACTGTGCTAATAATCTCTATCCAGCCAAGTTCCCTTTTGGTGAATGAAGTAAAATTGTCGATTTTATTCCACCTGATATCCCAGCAGTCCTGACTCTCTCTCATCCGGCAGCTCCTCAGTGAAGCGTCTCTTTTGACCTTGGGGATGGGGTTGGACTTGTGGCTGTGTTCCAGTTGGCATGGTTGTTTTTACTGGGGCAGCAGGAAGAAAAGGACCACTCAGTGGACTCTAGCATGCAGAAGTTGAAAACAAAACACAAGAGAATTTGATAATACAGAGAGTATTAATTCAATGTAGAGTTTCATACATAGAAGACACAACTAGTTTCTCTTTGCAGAACCTAAGAGAAGTGAGAAGGAAATTCAACTTAAACAAGTATTTCATTTATAGAACGCTCCCACCTCAAACTAATCACTATCTGTAACTCAAACTCATTGTGCCTACACAGCTGTGTCCAGCCTGCAATAATGCTTTTCATAAACAAACGGCCACCCCCTGCAAATATCCTTTATGTTAGCAAGTGGCTATGATACCAAAAATGCAATATGAAGCAGCCATACCAACAGTTTAGTTGCTTAGACAGGAGCAGTAATGGAAATAAAATGCCCTAAAGAATTCGCCATCTGGCATTTTAATTATTTTATTGATAGCAAAGAAACAGCTTTGTTTCTTACTGTTTCTCAGCAGTAAGTTGACAACTACAGGACAAATATTTAATCTGTAGCAGTACCTGGCCAGTGCTGGCTGGAGGCTGTACTTGAGATATTGGGTACTGGGTTGGCACAGGCGGAACTCCTGTAGGTAGTGTTGTTAGGACTCCAGGTGCCAATGGCACTGCAGGTGGTACTATGCCGGGTACACCATACGGTGGCTGAACTGGTTGTTGAGGAGGGGGAACAACAGGGTAACCAGACTGATACCCATTGGAAGGGTAATACGATGGCTGAGAGGGTACGCTATTTATAGCAGCGGGCTGCGTGAAGCCTGGTGAGAGAAATGAGAAAAAAAGGGTCATCTTCAATTCAGAGTCACAAAAATATCAAATTTAATTACTAAACGTAAAAGATGCCATACTCCCTTTTCAATTGAAGGACTTAAAAGACTTCCACAGGTAAATAAGTTCTATAAAACTAACTGTAAGTACAGCTCTGCAGAATGCAACTCCAAAGACTTCGTTATTGCTAACGCTTACCTGCTAACGGGACTGCAGTGGTTATCTGATTCACAAATCGGGAATATTCAGCATGAACCTACAAAGAATTTTTAAAGATTAGACAATAAACATCTATTTACTATATTAATCTTTTGCAAGCAAAAGGCATCTTATCACACATCCCCATAACATTCTAAGGGGACTTCAATTACAGAACACACTCTGCACAGAGACAGCAATAATACAAGCAAAAAACCTGAGAACAAAACCCCACCCCACTGAACATCCCACTCATCCTGCTGGCCTCTCATCAGGTTTGTGTAAAATGCAGGACAATCTTTCAGAGGAAATAGTGGGAAACTAATTACCTCATTAGAGACAAAATACTCAAAGTCAAAAGAATCTAAAAGCTTCCATGTATTTTTCAAAAGAGACTTTGTAGTCCACACTCAATTATCAATACTAACAGAAAGAGTCTCACAGGATTTTATTCTATTTGCATTCGTATAAGAAAAGATGAGAAATTTAATTTTCTATGTGTACACAAGAGATTTTAAAAAAATTTTTGGTACAACAATGGCTTTATGAAAGATAAAAGATGACAGCACGGCTCTGGACAACATTTAAAGGTAAAGCAAAGGAAGCTACAACAATCAGAAGAAAGCAGGATTCCTCCCCTGCCCCCCACTCCAGCTGTGCTCAGGAAGCGTTCACAGGCTGCCGTGCGAGGGCACCCTCAGTACATTTGCTGACAACATCACATCAGGTGGGCTGTTAATCTCCTTGCGGGTAGACAGCTCTGCAGAGGGACCTGGACGGGCTCAGTTGATGGGCCGAGACCCACGGTGTGAGGTTCAACAAGGCCAAGGCCGGGTCCCACACTTGGGTCACAACAACCCCATGAAGTCCAGAATAGTGGCCGGAGCTGCCTGATGGAAAAAGACCCTGGGGGTGATGGTCAACAGTGGCTGAGTATGAGCCCACAGTGTTCCCAGGTGGCCAAGGTGGCCAGTAGCATCCTGGCCTGTGTCAGGAGCAGTGTGGCCAGCAGAAGTGGGGCAGTGGCCGTCCCCCTGGACTGGGCACTGGTGAAGCCCCACCTTGAGGGCTGTGTCCAGTTTTGGGCCCCTCATGACAGGAAGGACATTGAAGTGCTGGAGGGTGGGGGGTCGTTGTTCTGTCCCAAGTCACAGGCGATGGGACAACAGGAAATGGCCTCAAGTTGCACCAGGAGACGTTTAGGATAGATATTGGGAGAAATTTCTTCACCCAAAGGGTTGTCAGACACTGGAAGAGGCAGCCCAGGGCAGTGGTGGAGTTGCCATCCCTGGAGGGATTTAAAAGCCGGGCAGACGTGGTGCTGCGGGCCATGGGTCAGTGGGGTTCGGGCAGTGTCAGGCTGATGGTTGGACTTGATGATCTGAAAGGTCTCTTCCAATCTCAACGATTCTATACTTTTTTCCCCCCAAAATTCCACTACCACAGCTCTATCCTGAGAAATGTGTATTCATTATACAAAAATTGGAGAGCAGTACTTAGAAGGAAAGACCTATTAGCAAATCAGAACACATGGACAGTTTACTGAGAGCATTAAAAAAAAAAAAACAAGAAAACATTAGCCAGGCACACACTAAAGCTACAACAGGCTCCCAAATCTCGTATTTGCAAGAGCTACTCACAGTTTGCAATAGATTCTCACACAGCTTTTTAGCAGCTGCCAAACCTTCTGGCTTTGGGTGACTGAAAATACATACAAAAAATATCTTATAAGCACAAATGTTTCCACCAAGTTTGGGAGCTACTTCTTTCATCAGCATCTGCTGTCAGATCTTATCCCTCTAATGAGTGATCAGTCACCTCAACAGAACTCTACCAGCTCTGCACTATTTACCACAATTATGTACAAGAGTGATTAATATTTTCTACATGAAAATTCAGGTTATTCTAAATATTGCAAGGCAGGAGCACAGAACACTGACTTGATCAGCCTTTTGTATTCTTCCCTTAAAGCTCAACATCCTAACCCAGGCCCAAAAAGAACACAGCTTTACTGTGTTCCCAATGAAAGCAACATTTCATGGCTGAATATCACTTTTTACCATATCACCATACAGTTGATCACTTTAGATAGATCTCTATTAAAATAAAAGTCAGGTTAAAAAACTATTTCATTTGCACTAAGTCAGTCTGAATGAAGAACTCCCCACATTCATTAAACATTAAACCAAATTCATGACTGAAGATATTCAAGGTAAGGCTCGATGAGGCCCTGGGCAACCTGCTCTAGTTGGGGGTGCCCCTGCTGACTGCGGGGAGGTTGGACTAGATGATCTTTGGAGGTCCCTTCCAGCCCAGATCATTCTATGATTCTATGACTGGTCACTGGTGGCTTTTTATTTTTTACTTAAAAAAACCAACCAACCATCTCATACCTGATGTAGATGTACATGGGTTCAAACGCTTCTCTGCCTGATGCTGGTTCTATGCAACCTGAGCCTTTCCCACGAAGAAAAACTTTGGCACCCGTTTCAATTTGAATGTGCTGCAAGTAGGAGCAACCAGGCCCTTCCACCTTTTCCTTCACATTAAATGTAGGTACAGCATGTTCCAGACCAACAAATAACTTGTCCTGAACATAATGCATCTGTAAATGTAACAGTAAAAGCTTATTATTTCACTTAAAGGGTTATTAGGATGTTCATTTCACTGGAGGCCAGAAGCCTCCAGTTTCTATGGCAGTCAGAACAGTCAAGTGTTGAATGGCACAGTCAGCCCTTTGCTTTTCTGTAAGCAGGACTGCTCTCCCCATCCCTTTTCTTCTAGGAGGCTACTGTCATCCCAGTCTCACTCTTCAGACTTGGTCTGATTAGTCCTCCACTTTTCACAACACACAAGGATTGGGTTTTTTCTTTATTTTTTGGGTTGCCCTTTCCTTTTAATAGGTAAATCTTTACATCAGCAATATTAAATGAAATTTGCATAAATTAATTACTCACCCCTGTCTGGAACGGAGGTTTTTGGCCAACTGCTGGAGACAACTGAGTAATAGGGGCTGGCTGGTGATAGACAGTGACTGTAGCTCCATTGAATGTTGGACTAGAACCTGTGGCTGCCTTCACTACTCCGTTAGTAATTATCTCTTTAATTCGGTTAACAGCTCCTAGTTGACAGAATATGAAAATAATTTATATTTCAGCCCTTGTCAACTGCCCAGATTAACCAAATGATGAAAAGACCAGGTTACTTTCCCATATTCTGTGACAGCAGATCTACAGGCAAGATGATCGTATTTGAGGGTGAGGCCCAATATTGGCATTCTGGCATCGGATCCCAAAGGATGGAAAAGCATCAGGGTTCTTTCTCCACTCCCACCGTGGTAAAGCTTAGGTTAATATGTGCAGGTGGGCATTTTTAGTCCACACATTTTTAGCAAGTGCTAGAAATATTTACATTAACTCCGTACAGAATTTACAGCTGCATGAATGAGCAAACTAACATGTGAAAATTGATTACTGGCCATGGAAACCATGGTAGGTAAAAGTGGGCAGCTTCAAGTTTTGAGATACAACTGAGGGCAAGCCTGTGAACTGATACACAGAACAAACAAATGCCTGAACAGTGCATAGCTTTCCCTTCTTTCCTGCAGGCATAGGCAAGACAGGAGTTCTTTGTGCTTCTAATGGAAATGTGATATTCCACAAAAAATGTTCATACTTGTATATTAAAGGAAAAGCCTCCCTGTCACACACCTATTGTAAGGGGGTCTCAGCATGCTATCAGTGAATGCACTCATACATCAGAGCTGCACCTGCCAGGAACACCCCCCGGCTGCCCCCACCTTCCCCGTACTCCATGAAAAATTTCAGTTTCATGACTAATGCAGGACACAGGACCTTAGGTAGCTTTGAGCAGAGATCTTAATATCAACATTTAAATGGGGGCTGTTACCAATGCTAAAATAGTACAAATCCATACCAGTCATAAGCAGGAGTGTTGATCTGCATGAAGATAGGGAGGCTCTACAGAGAGACTTGGATAGATTGGATCAATGGGCACGTGTTAATGGTATGAGCTTCAACAAAGCCAAGTGTCAGGTCCTGCCCTTGGGCCACAACAACCCCATACATCAGTACAGGAAGTGTGGCTGGAAAGCTGCCTGGCAGAAAAGCACCTGGGGGGTTCTAATTGACAAGCAGCTGAATATGAGCCAGCAGTGTGCCCAGGTGGCCAAGAAAGCCAATGGCATCCTGGCTTGGATTAGTGTGACCAGCAGAAGTAGGGAGGTGATTGTCCCCCTGTACTCAGCACTCGGGTGTGGTGAGGCCACACCTGGAGTATTGTGTCCAGTTTTGGGCACTTCAATAGAAGAGAGATCTCGAGGTGCTGGAGCGAGTGCAGGGGAGGGCAACGATGCTGGTGAAGGGCCTAGAGAATAAATCTAACGAAGAGCAACTGAGGGAGCTGGGACTGTTTACTTTGAGGAAGAGGAGGCTGAGGGGAGACCTCATCACTCTCTACAACTACTTGAAAGGACATTGTAGAGGGGTTGGTGCTGATCTCCCAGCTAATTAGTGATAGAACAAGAGGGAATGGCTTCAAGCTGCAACAGGGTATGTTTAGACCGGACATTAGGAAACAATTCTTCACGGAAAGAGTGGTCAGACACTGGAATGGGCTGCCCAGGGAGGTGATTGAGTCACCATCCTTGAATGAGGGCAACGATGCTGGTGAAGGGCCTAGAGAATAAATCTAACGAAGAGCAACTGAGGGAGCTGGGACTGTTTACTTTGAGGAAGAGGAGGCTGAGGGGAGACCTCATCACTCTCTACAACTACTTGAAAGGACATTGTAGAGGGGTTGGTGCTGATCTCCCAGCTAATTAGTGATAGAACAAGAGGGAATGGCTTCAAGCTGCAACAGGGTATGTTTAGACCGGACATTAGGAAACAATTCTTCACGGAAAGAGTGGTCAGACACTGGAATGGGCTGCCCAGGGAGGTGATTGAGTCACCATCCTTGAATGTGTTTGAGAGTCTTTTAGATGTGGTGTTGGGGGATGTAGTGTAGGGGAGAACTTTGTAGAGTAGGGTTGATGGTTGGACTCGCTGATCCCAAGGGTCTTTTCCAACCTGAATGATTCTGTGATAAAAAAGCCCATCAGTAAATCCCCTTTATCCCAAATAAAGGGAAAAAACACAGAATGCTTTGTATGCTTACTGTCAACCAATTCCCGCGTCTGCCCCTGGACATGAAGATACAAAGGACGATCTCTGGAAAGGAAACCCACATGAAATAATGGATACAATCTAATTATATTACAGTCATTTAGACACATAAAGCCTTCCATAAAGATTTGAAATACACTTCAAATAAGGAAGTAAACACATATTCATTGAGTATCACAGCACTCAGGAAGCAAAGCTTTGCACTGAAAACTAAAATGATCCAAAAGTTATTTACATGATGACTTTAATTAAAGTTATACCACTGAAAACTTTAATTTGCTTGTCCACACAAAAGGTTAACTAACTAAAAGCACCAAGTCTATGAAATATTAGCTCTCTTTTTAATTGGAAAGTTGTCCATTCTCAGCAAAATGCACAGTATAGTGTTCAGCTGGAAGAATTTCAGTACAGCTGGTTTTTTTTTTATTTTATTTCATCCTCTCAATATTAAGCAGGTAGGAAAGCAACTATGCACTCAGTAAATAGTCAATTTGCTCTGGCACATGAAGGTGACACTGCTCATGAAAACCAAAGCAAAAATCCCATCACTTAGCCACCCCATGAGGAAGAAAAAGAAAAGCAGAAACCCAAAAAAGAAATACAAACCCAGGTCCCACTTTTGCTTTCTCTTCTGCAGTCATGAACCTCCCTCGAGTAGAGACAGCGGCTCCACTCAGCCGACTTATCTACAAACAATTAAAAAAACCCAGTGAAAAGTTTATCAATAATAAACAAAGCACATGCAAAAACCCCAAAGTGGTTTGGGCTACGTTGTGCTATAAAAAGACCAAAGTCTATTAATAATGTGGTAAGAGAATGAATGGTGTCCGCTAAAGGATACTGGCTATGCTATCTTATCTCATCATACAGCATTTTATTGAATGCACCAATTAAACACTAATCAAGTGTCTTAAAAACACAGTGAGTTTCGTAAAAAGACCAACCAACCACTGAATATAGTTTCTTACAAGCTCTTTTAACCTTACAAAGAGGTACAAATGTGCTCCCAAGCCTAACAAATCCAACACAGATCCTGAGCATACCTCATCCTGAGTCTGTCCTCTTGTCAGCAGGTTCCTGCACGTGAGGGGGACATCGTTGATTTCTACCTCTGCCACCACAAGGTCATCTTTGTTTTTACTTGTAGCCGGACCTTTTCCCAGAGCCTGCAGCTTCAAAGACAACCGTTGCAAAAGGGTTGGAAAGCAGAGACAAATGACGTAACACAGAAATTGACCCCAGTACTCTAGAGGTGAATATCCTTTTCATTCTCCCCTTTCAGCTGTTGAACCCAAAAGCTTTACAAATATTAGCAGAAAGCACTTCATCTACCTCTTCTACCTTGAGCCTAAATAAAACATTAGCTTTATCTTCACCACATTTTAATATATTAAATAATGACTGCTTCTGGTCTTTAAGTGGAGAAACAGATGCAGAATTAAGCAGTAAAGTTGTTCAAAGGGACACCAATGCATTTTACACTTGAACTGGCATATCTGAAAGAAAACTGTGAGACTCATAAAACATGTAATTCATAGTTAACTCCCCTAACACAGACATAGAATTTAGAATTTTTGTTCAAGATCTAAACTCATCCACACTGACTACACTCCCCCCCACTTTTTTTTTTAAAGAAGGGCTTAATATTTTTTGGCAGTATCAAAGCACTAACAAAGAAAAAGCCACGGAGGCACAAACAGATTCAGAAGATGTGGCAGAAGAACTGCAGTTACAACAGAGGCCTTATATCTTTTTCCATGTACTCCAGACAGTGAGATAGTACACCCTTCTAAAAATCAGACATATTTTTGGGAACATAAACGTAAAACAAGACTCTATAATAAAGAGAACCTTCCATTAACACCCAAAAAGATATCCGGCCACTCTCATAAATACCACATGAAGCATGGTACTTGCATGAGAGCCAGAAGGCAGCTATAGAGGGACAAAAGTCCAACGCATCCTACATGGCTTCTATTTCTCCATTCCTTCCACACTTTTTTTTTTTAAAAAAAAGTACATTCATTAACTTGCAGGCTTCTTAATTTCCATTCGCTTACAGTCTGAAATGCCGTCAGAGTTAATTACTCTGGGAATGTCATCACTGAATATTTCCTAACAAAAGCAACATATGCAGAAAAAAACCCAATCCTATTTGCAAATTAATTAATTGGTTAAGTTGTTCCCACAGCAATACTATCTGCCACAAAATGCCAGAGTGCCACCAGAGCTTATGGAAAGGAAAACAGAGATGGAAGAGTGACACTACCAATTTTTAGGTGTCTCAAACTGCCAGTCAGCAAACAGACTTTACGTCCATCTGGTCTCACTTTGGAGGAAGCCACCTGAAACCAAGCCTCATGTTCTTCAATGCTGAAAATTTCACATCCTCAGGTGGATGTGACGTATTGAAAAGCAGACACCATTGTGCAGCAAACAACGGTTAAGACCACCTAAGACTGCTGATGGCAGCGATCAGCAAAACACTCGCTACTAAGCCTCACATATTAAAAAGGCTGTAACGATCATGTTGGATACAGAACCAACAGAGAACCAGTCACCCCGAAGACATGGCGGGACACATTTGCTGTTCTTTCTTATACTATCTGTAAATAAATCCAATGACAAAATGAATATTCATTTTGATGCTGCCTCAAGGCAAACCCTTAGAACATAACTTGCAGTTCCAACACCATGCACGTGAAAAAGAAAATACATAGCTGAAAACATACTCTCCTTAACTTTATATTTGAGCAAGTCTGGAAGGAAACTTTAAACAGCCTTCTAAGCCTGGATCTAGCACAGGCTACTGAGATGCAGAAAAGCAAGACCGTGTCTGTTACTGAAACTGGAAAAAAAAGCTTTAAAGTTATACTTGCTTTAGAATGGAAAAGGTCAGTTGGAAGGGACCTACAAGGATCATCTAGTCCAGCTGCCTGACCACTCCAGGGCTGACCAGAAGCTGACAGAAGCTTAGTGGTTTAGAACTTGCACATAAAGCTCCTACTGATAACTTGTTTAAGCATGAAAATGATTTGGTCTCATATTTTAAACTACCTCTTTTATACAGTAGTTTTTACATCATCTGTACTACTTAGAAAATACTTCAGTAAAAGCATATTGTCTTCCTACAGATCGCTTTGGTTACGCCTTATGGAAGAGCGGTGGGACTGACCTCACAGCCACGCCACTGTTATTCAGAAAAAAAAATAAATTTAAAAAGGTTTTCCAGTGTTTGTGATATCCTACTCTACGAAGCTAACCTCCGACGTTTCCCGTCTCACCGAGAGCTGTTCCGACAAACAGATCTGCACCAGAGAGACGCGACCCCCACCCCTGCCCAGCGCCTCCGGGCCCGGCGCGGCCCCGGGCACACACCTTGTCCGCCGTGCTGGGCGCGGGCTTCAGCTTCCCTTTGGCCATTAACATCGCGTTGATCTTCGCGGCCACAGCGGCGGCCGCATCCAGCGCTCCCGAGGGGGCGGCGGAGCTCTCGGAGCCCGCCACCGCGGACCCGCCATCTCCGCCGCCGGGGAAAGGCCGCCCGGGCAGCGGCGCCGTGCCGGGGAGCAGGAAGGCGGGGGCCGGGCCGGGCTGGTCCCACTTGCTGCGGCGCCTGGAAAAGAGAAAGGCCTCAGCCGCGGCTGCCTCGCGGAAGAGCAGGGGCCGGCCGCGCCCCGCAGCCACCGCCCTGCGGCCCTTCGCCGGTCGCGCCCGAAGACCCGTCGCGCCCGAAGACCCGTCGCGCCCGAAGACCCGTCGCGCCCGCGGCGCCGCCTCACCCGCCCGCGGCCCCCGCGTCGCGCTGCGCTCCGCCGCCCGCTGACATGGCTCCGGCCCGGCTCCGCCGCCTCCGCGCCAGCCGCAGCGTCATTTCCGGCCTCCGGGCCACCTCGAGACGCCCCTTCCGGGCGTTGCCACGGAGACGGCGCGGCGCGCAGGCTGTGCCCCCGCAAGCGAGGAGCAGGAGCCGCCGGCACCGGGCGAGCGGGAGCCGCCGGCACCGGGCGGAGCGGGCCGGACCGGAGCGCGCTCGCGTCGCGCAGCCACCGGTGGTGACGCCGAAGGCCGCGGTGACAGCGGCGGAGCAGGCGCGCTGCGGGTGCTGCGGAAGCTGCGGGCGGGGGCCTCACGCATGCGTACTGGTGCCCCTTAGCGGACTGCTCCTCCGCCCCGCAGCCGGGCCGCTGGCGCATGCATGCTGGCGCGAGCCACGCTCCTCGCTGCCCCCGGCGCATGCGCACTACACCCCCCCGCCGGCCGCCGCGGACGGGGAGCTCCGCCATGTTGAAGGCCGGGGGCGCTGGGCTCTCCCCTGAGCTCTGCGCCAGGTCCCCCAAGAGGTTGTAGAGAGCGAGAAGGTCTTCTCTCAGCCTCCTTTTCTCCAGGCTGAACACCCCCAGCTCTCTCAACCGCTCCTCACAAGACTTGTGCTCCAGACCCCTCACCAGCTCCGTTGCCCTTCACTGGACACGCTGCAGCCCCTCAATGAGTTTCTTGTTGTGAGGGGCCCAAAATTGGATGCAGCGCTCGAGGTAGTGCCTCACCAGTTCCCTCTAGGGGCACTTATTTTCTCCTTTGATGTTTGCTAAATTAACACGGATGGCCCCACTTGCTATGGAGTGGTTTCTTCTCCAGTTCCTCCCTTCCCTCAGGTGATGCGTAGCATGATTTGGGTGGGGAGGCGAGTGCCATGGTCACACGTGTTTAGCATGATCTCTGTAGTCTTCATTAGCTCTTTATATGCTCTTTATTTAATCCATTTATTTTATCCATGTGGGAAATAAGCTAAGTTTTGCTTCAGCTTATTGATGTATCATTGTTAGTGTGATAGTACTAACAAAGAAGCCTTAGTAATAGTAGAGTCTAATAAATTGTATCCAATTAATCCCCAGAAATGCCCTTGGTCTGTCAAGGGATCCTTGTTTGCAAAGCGTTATCTAAGTGAAAAGAAACAGACTAGAACATGGCCTTCAACACAAAAACCCAAAGGGTAGGGGAGTATCAATAAGGCCAAAGAAACCAGTCTGGTAAATCTGCCAAGTAGATGGTAGCAAAGACTCTGAAGTAACGTGTAGCATAATCAACTAATCAAAGGCATGTTTAGGATAATGATTTCGTAGAATAGGTGTGTGTGTGCCTTATATGGGAAAAAGTGCAAAATAAACCTGTAATAGGTCAAGTGGTCGGGAAGACTGTGAGCTCCAACTTCTCAGCCAATGAGAAGGGAGACAGAAACTCAAGCGGCCGGGATAAAGGTATAAAATACCTGAAAGATAAAAGATCATCGTGCATCTATTTTTGGTGCACCCGATTCAGCGCTGTTTCGTATTAATAAATTATTATTTTTTTAACCTTTGCTTCGGTGACTTTGTCCTCTTTAAATTCTAAGATGTGAGTCGGTGTTTCTCACATCCAGAAGTGGGGCCCAGATCCTCTGAGCTGACTGAGGGATCGCAAAGCTGCGTACACATCTCCTGCTGCTTGTAGAAGAGCTTCAGGGGGAGCTGGTCTTGAAGGCAGTGTCTCTGGAGGCCAAGTGTCCTGGCTCGCTGAGGAGCCAGCTGCAGTCAGGGCTTTAGATGCTGTGGTAGACGGGCTTGGTTGGACGAACACAGCTGAACAAGGGATGTGCCCTGTTGTGTTGCTTTTCAGGAAAGTATAGGTATAGCTTGTCCAGAAGGTGACCTGGCCAGAATTTATTGCTGCTTGTCTCTTGCTTCGTCTTCCTCTGAAGATGCCTGTGAAAAAAAAAGAAAAAAGGGAGGAGAGGGGGCAGAAGAGAAGGGGGGAAAAAAAGATGTGTGAGAGAGAATAGCATGAGCTGGGCAGTTTCAGCGCTTCTCTTAGTAAGGTCAAAAGGGAGGCTGACAAGAACCAGCTCTCTGGGCTTCTGGGCACTGGGAAGCTCTGCCCGAGCTGTGCACGCTCTGTCGGTCCTTACTTGACGTGACTGGCACTGGAAATGCCAGCCTGTGAAGCTCTCTTAAGAGCTGGTATGTTGCCCATCACTGTGCTATCTAAATGCTTTAGCTGAGATAAACAAAGAATACTGTGCTCTGCTTTGCAGTGGTTTTGTCTCTCCAAAAGCTTCTCCAGCCGCCCAGAGCTCGGCTCTTCAGGACTGTTTCTTCCACAAGAATAAACATTCTCTGAGGGGATTTCTTTCCGCTGAGCATTGGGTGGGTCTGAAGAGAAGCTTTGTCACCTCTGTGGTTCACAGCACAGAGCTGTCCCAAGTAGTCTGCCAGGCTCCTGCCAGGCACCACTGCAACCCAGTGACATGGCTAAAGCACAGGAGTGGCTGTGGGGCTGAGAAGAGGATCTGCCTCTTCACCGTCGCTCCCTGCTCCCTTGCAGCATCCTACGGGTTCACTCCAATAGCTTGGTCCTGCCTCTGAGGCTGTGGGGACTGAGCACAGGGGGGTGACAGACAGCAGGGCAGCAGGAGGCGACTGATCTGAAGCCCTCTTTGGACAAACCTCTTTTCCGTGTCCACGCCGTGGCTTCCTGATCTGGAGGTGCTCTCAGGGGATGGAGCATCAGCACGTCCTGTGCTGTAGTATCCTCCAGGCTGCCTGATCTTCCATATGTCTCCTCCCTCCTTGATGATCTTGTCTCCTGGATGCAACAGGCCTGTTGGCAAAGGGCACAGAGGAAACAGTCATTCATGCTGCAGCCTGCGATCAGCAGCCCTGTTTCAGCTCAGACATTGTAGGCATAGCCGTCTACAGCTCAGTCACAGCCATGTCTGTTCCTGGTGATGGACCCGCTGATCCTGCCGTGGTCTGACTTCCCAGCTTGACCTTGGACCTGCCCCATCATCACGAACTTGCCTCGTGAGCTGCACTCTCAGTTGAACCTGGCTACTGACCCAGCGGCAACGGGAGAGGGCCTAGCTGATCTGCAGCACCCCTTGGTGTCTCAGTCCCGCTCTGGCCCTGCTGCTGATCTTGCTGATCCTAACCAGCAGCATCTGCCATGGCCCTCTGAGGGCTGCAGACATGCTCCATTAGCAGCGCGCCCTGACGTTAGTCTTGCTTCTGGGCTTGGGAAAAGTCATGAACTTGTCAGATTTAGTGCCTTCATGTCGGGCCTTTGGTCTTTACCTTTCTGCAGCGTTGGCTTGGTGATGGAAACATCGCGCTCTTCGCACTGCTTGGAGCTCTGCATATAGACCGCCACGGTTTTGCTGCGATATCGGTCAACCAGTTCTCCAAAGTCAGCCTCCATGGTTGAGAGCAGGCAGTGCTCATCAACGGGGCGATCCCCAGTTCTCGGCATCGGGCACTTTTCTTTGCATTCTATGGGGCTGTCTTTGTTCTGCAAGTAAAGGGCAGGTCCCAGTTAGCATTCAGTGGGGCCCTGGGGGTGCTGCACTCCCTTCAGAGAAGCTGCAGGCAGGGATTCATCTCAAAAGTGCGTGCAAACAGGAGTTGGCACCCTGCAATGGGCTCACAGGGACAGGCACTCCTCTGGGAGTTCAATTCCCATCCAGAGCTGGGTCATCAGACAGATACTCCCTGGACAGCTTAGCTTAGCTTGTAGGACCTCAACTGCAAGGTACCATGTGGTCAAGGGACCACGGAGAAGCTAATACTCCCAATAATCCCATGTCCTTTCCTGCTGCACCGTCTTCCAAATCACCCCACCCTTACCAAGGCATGCAGGTGCACTTGTTCTCTTCAATACCTTGAGATCACCATTATCCAGGATCACCACGCCCATCAGCGTGGCATCAGCTGGGGTAAAGCGGTGTCACTCTACTGATTTGATGGCAGACACTATTTCCCATGCAATTCCCTACTTACGTCCAGGCTGTTGGTCTCGGCTGATTTGACGGCACCTCTCCTGGCTGCTCGGAGTGCCTTTATTCTGTACAGGTATTTTTTTTCTTGTTGGCTGAGGGCAGGTTTTTGAGTCAGCCACCTTTCCATGTCCCCCAGGCTTTCCAGGTCAGTTCGAAGATGTCTCCTGAGCTGAGTCCAAGCCTCTGCTGCTTGTTGACCCTCTTGTGTATTGGAGGTGGTCTCTGGGGATCTGAAGCTATCTTCTTCTTCCTGAGGCAGCTGCAAGACAGACAAATGGCAGAAATCTGTAGCCTAAGTTGGTTTCCAAAAGGGAGAAGCTGGTTTCGCCACAGGTGGATCAAAAATCACTTGATGTCTGGATTTGGATGATGCAGACCTACTTGCTTTCAGTTTAAAGGCAAAAGTTGGACACAGATTTCTCCAATGGTATAATTGGAAACCACACTCCAAGACCACTTGTGGCTTGACATTAGTCAAACCCTCGACTGCATGCTGGTACTTCATGTTACAACCGATGCACTTCTTGCAGAATTGAGTTGGGGTCAAGTGGGCACGGTGGTTTCCCAAAATGTCAGCAAGCCCGTCACAGAGCAGTACGGAAACACGTGGTAGGACGTGCTCAAAAGTGGCAGCCTCCATGTGTGTTGTGGGCCGGGGCCTCCAGTTCTGACATGCTTCTGGCCAAACTGTGAGGGATGAGGTGGGGTGGAGACAGGGTCATCAGCAAAGCACAGAGCAGCACAAAAACAGCTGGGTCCCGCCGTTGAGCAAAATGCTGGCTCCCTGCCACCAAGGAGCAGCTGAAATAATGTCAGCCATTTTGCTTGTGAAGAATGGCTGGAGTGCTACTCAGAGAGACAGCTCTCCCCCTCCACACCGCCAGCTGGAGGTGGCTCGAGCCAGGTGCCTGGAAGAGATCCTGCTTGAGCTCCAGAGGCAGCACCGGGCAGAGGTGGCCTCCTTTCCAGGGTCGGAGCAGGCCCACCCTGGCCAGCTGCTGGTTTTGCCCCTTGGCCTCTACTGCCAATTCCTCCCTCGCAGCAGTGAGCAAGGGACAATGAAAGCCACAGACACCTGCCCTGCTCTTTGGAGGGAGCGATGCTGCTGGGACTTGGAGACCTTCCCAACTTGGTGCCACCCCGACCAGAAAAAGGCTGCTCTGGTGATGCTCCCGTACCTGGGCCCTCCGTGTCCTGTCCCAGCTTTCTCTCCCAGCTTGCTGTTGAGGAAATTCTGGAAAGCTGGTGCTTCCTGCTTCTCTGTTCTCTTCTTTCTCCTCCCTTTTGGCCACGGACACATGCAGTTTTCTTCTACTATTAATCCCAAATACAGCCTGTCTTTTCTACAGGGACCCAGAAACACAATAGCAGTGGTTAGCCTCATAGGTAATTTTTTTTTTTTAAATAGTGCTCTTTCTCCTAAAAGATCCCCACTTGGTTTTTCTACAATCAAGTGACACAGCTGCCCCACTTGATATTACGTACCTGTCCTGTCTGCCCGTGTTCTTCAGAAGTAAGCAATGGCAACTCAGGGCTCTTGAAAGGAGTTTCTTTGTGCTGCCTTCCTTCAGTGCCTGCACGTTGTGGCAACAGTCTGAAAACATACACCAGGGTGAGTCCGTATGACTGCAGGAAGAGTTTCTTCTCCGTCCTGTGCTCACATTGCTCACAGCAGACCAAGCTTGCTTTGCGCACTTGCCTTCCCCTCCCCAGAGATGGGGATAAACCTGAGCTGTAACGCTCAGATGTGCTGCTAAGGAACTCAAGGAGATGAGCTTTTTCCATAAGGAAGGCTCTGGGACACGCAGCCCGATGCGGCCCTCCTGATGGAACAATGAGAGGATTTGCATCCTGTGCAATGACAGGTGCCTGGAGACACTGGCATGCCTCCCCCAGCCATTCCACTGACCACTGCAAAGCAGTCCCAAATACTGTGGGACTTCCCATCAAGCAGGGAAACGCACTGTGTGGTGACGTGTGTCAGCAGCCCTTCTGAGTCAATACAAACCCTGGGTCCAAAGGGAACAGGGGAACAGGCTTCTCAGAGAGCCTGGTCAGTCTCCGTCCCTAAAGGCTTTGAAGACAAGACCGGATAAAGTCCTGAGCAACCTGGTCTGACCTCAGCTCAGAGCTGAATCTGCTTGGAGCAGCTGCTTGGACTAGGACCTCCTGAGAGCCCTTCCAAGCTCTATTATTGTATGAGCTTATAAAATATCCTGCACGAGCACTAGAGCACAAGGCCACTCTAACAGAGTCCTTTCAGAGTCTCACCTGCCAGGAGGCCCTTTTCTCTCCATTTTCTCCTGTGTTGCTTTCTCCGTATCAGCTCTGGCTAAGCAGTCTGGAGGAACGCTCCTTTGCAGAAGGAGTGGTGAGTGGTGAAGAGCTGCTGCAAGTATGAAAGGAGAAAACCTCTTAGAACAGGCAGAAGGAGGCACAGATCTGCTCTGCTAATGCTTGAGGCCTCACTGGGGCTCCTTCCGAGACCTGTTTCCTCGGAGGGAGATCTTAAGCCCTTCCTGACGCCAGCCCTTGACCCTGTTCAACCCTCAGTAACCCCATTATTCTCTTCAGTGTGAGTTTCCTCCTGCTGCGGCTAGTCCTTCCTCTCCGCAGAGCCTTTTGAGGAGAGACAGATCTTGGCACTTAACAATCTCTCTGGGGGGAACAATTTCTTGGCATTGCATACGTGTTTGGTATACCAAAATTTGCTGTCATGATGCGTTCAACTCAAACATGTTACAGCTCTGATGTTCCTGAGGCATTTTGGTCAGGGAGCTAGACTGCCCAGCTTTAAAAGAGAAGTGAGGTCTCAGCACAGCTTAGCAACGTTTGTACAGTTGTTCTCTATGTGATTTTTCTCATTGAATTAGGCTGCGGTGATTCCAAGAGATAGCCAACACCCCCGCCCCACTCTCCCAAACTCGAGGCAGCGTTTGTGATTCACAGTGCCAATGGACTTCCCCAAGCATTTACTCACTCCTGCACAAACTGCTAGGATGGAGGAAGTATACTCCAGGCCATGGAGCACAGGGGCAAAACATACTTCAGCACCGTCAAACGCAGCTAGTGGTGCTGAGCCCTCCTGGAGTCTTGCTCCAAAAAAACGAGTCCCTTGAGATTTACCAGGAGGGGTAAACAAAGGCTTTAAAAGAGAAGTTTATCCAGCTTTAAGAGAGAAGTGAGGTCTCAGCACAGCTTAGCAACCTTTGAGATTTACCAAGAGGGGTAAACAGAGGCACCCAGGGTGCCTCTCTCCCGTCCCAGGCAGCTATTGTCGCCTGGGCCCTAAACACCCACCAGTCATGAAGACAGGGAAATGCACAAACCTCTGCTGGGCATCACTTGCTGACATTACCTCTTTTTCCCATGCTGCTCAAACCCTTCTTGACATCTGAAGATGTCTCCTCATCTGTGAGAGAAACTCTTCGAGGCACTACTCTCATCTCAAACCTGGAAACAGGAAAGGTAGCACCATTCTGAGAAAAAGGCTCCTTTGCCAGATGAATGTCAAGGTACCTCTAGAGAGTCCACCTCATGTCCTAGGCCATTAAGGGAACCACCAAGCAGTGCTGGACTCAGGGACGGCCCAGCAGCCCCTCGCTAGGAAGAGGTTTTGGTTTCTTGCCTCAATCCTCCTGTGCCATCTTGACCCAAGAAGGCATCTCAGAGATACTTTGATTCACGTGAGTTTCACAGAAGGCACAGGAAGATCACAGACAGAGGACTTGCCTGCTGCTGGTCTTTGATTGACCCGCTAAGAGAAGCTTTCCATGCTATATTCAAAATAATGGAAATATTAGCATCTTATGTCTGTTAAATGTTTGAGCAGTCTCTGCCAATGGAAGGAGAACGAGCAGATGAAACTTTAGGAGGGTTGCCTGAATTCCTCTGTCTGGCAAACCGGTTGGTAACAGTAAAATGCAAACCACAATCGGTAATGGAGGATGCATAACTCCAGACTGTCAAAGCAAGGAGGAAATTACCTGCAATCCAGTAACTTGACAGAGCCCTACCAAACATGAGCAGAGCACCCTGCGCTCAGTCAGGTAAGGGCTGCAGAAACAAATCTACTCACTGTGGAAGCTGGTGAACGCGGCCAAAACGGCTCGGAAAGAGAGTGACTTCTTTGTCCGATATGACCAATTTCTTCTGCAACAGGGACAGAAACATCTGATGTGACTCCAGGGCAATGAACTCAATGCTCGCAACAGCCTTTCCATAGCTCCAAGAATTAGCGGCCCCTCAGCAAACTTCCGGCCAAGTGCCTCAGCCCCTTGCCAAAACAAGCCGCACAGCATATCATCTGCTAGGGCAAGGAATGTCACCAGCTTTTTTGCAAGGGCAAGAGTTGATGGCATCAGGCAGGAGACTCCTTGTTCACCAGGGAAGACATCAATGGAGGCCAACACAAGGGGAGGCTCACCACGAGCCTGGGTTTCTGGCTGCTGGTTGCAGTGAACTGGCTTGCTTTAACTATTGCTGAACCAAGAGCAAATGGTTCGGAATTGATGTTATCTCCAGAGCCCTTCCAAAGACTTCCAAAGAGTCTTGCGTGCCTCTGCAGTGTGAAGGAACCCAGCCATCGGCTCCTCTTCTGTCAGGCCAGGAGAACTACACCGGCAGCGTGCCAGCAGCCACGAGGGGCTGGTCTCAGCAAAGCCTTGGTGTCTCTGCGCCTCAGCCTCATGTCCAGAGCGTGGGGTGAACATCATCATCCCTGCCATTGCTTTGGCCTTTTTCCTCCTTATGGCAAGGCCCTGCCGGGGCTTTCCCTTGCTCAGCAAAAGTAGTACTGTGTACCTTCCCAGCACCCTTGAATGACAGCAAATAAAAGAAAGGCACTAAACCAAGCTTTCACTGCTGCAGACCATGAGTAGTCCAAGTGACCCAGCAGGTTACAGCTGGCCAGCAGAGCTCAGTTCCCCAGCCCTTTGATGGGATGTCAAACCTAGTCTAAGTAGCACTGGAAAAACAATAAACTTACAGTGAGCAACTTCTCCACTGTGTCTCTAGAGTTGTTGAGGCTTAGTAAAAGGTCTTCACAAAATGTCATTGTCACTTCTGTTCCCCGGATAGCAAGAGTGCCAACATCCTTTAAAACAAAGTCCATATCTTCTTTCTTTTTTAGGATGAAGTAGAGAAAGTCCAGGGTCTCCTGCACACAGTGCTGCGCGACTTTCTCAGAATAGGGCACCTCCAAGTGGGTCTTCTTGTAGCTCACCGACACTTTTTTCATCTCTCCTGGGAAAGAGAAGGAAGACTAAAACTCAGGCAGCAGCTGGGCAGACTCAAATAAAGTGCCAGCAGCTGCCAGGCCAAATACACTGCTGCAGCACTGTCTGGTCTAACCACCCGGTGCAGCTCCTTAAAGGAGTTGATGTAAGCCCCTCCTCAAGTGAAGGTCAAATCACCCCATTAACACATGTGCCAAGCCGCAGCCATGATTCCCTAGACAGAAATGGGAAGCAAGGACCATGGCCATCTGTGTCCAACACGTCACAGGAGGGAAGAATGGGGCTGGTTCCCATGGGAAGAGCAGAGTGTGCCAAGTAATGGAGCTGAACCCCCATATAGCGCAGTCCTGGACGGGGGAGACTTGGATATAAACACAGATAAACCACCGAGCTCTGAGTGCTGCACAGGCCACATTGATGGCCTGCTGCAGACACAGCAACAGCAGCAATGGTCAGACATGGCAGCAGATCTGGCCGTCGGCAGGTTCCTGTGATAACTATAATGTTCATCTCTCGTTCAAGGTTCTCTACAGACGACTTTGGCCCACTTTCTCTGCATAAAAGTAGCTCTCGGGGCCTGTGGGTGTTTGCCTTAATGTTGTTCTCTGTAGGAATAAAGCCTCAGCCTCATCTCAAGGCTTTTATGGTAAACAGTTCCAATAAATGGCCATCAGCCAGCACTCATCGTACAGATCAATAAATGTGGCCAGCACAAAGCCAGTTGCTAAAGCAGATCATGGAGAGAAGGTCCAACTTTGTACAGCCTTAATAGAAACTAGCCCAAAGCAAATGGCCCCTTTCTAGTCATTGCTCCTTGGTGGGCTGCTTGTGTCATCTTGCAGAGGTTATTCTCAGGGCCTCTGATGTGTCCACCATTGCTTCTAAACAGCAAACAGCATAACCCCCAAATCTATGGATGTAGGGGAAAACAAAGAATTTCACTGCTCTTCTTACCGGGAACAGGTATGGAAGCATGTTGCAGCTCACTGATCTGTGCCACAGTCCTGGACAGCGAAAACACAGGTTTCTGAAATGTGATCATCTTGCCATTTTCAAAGAAGTGACATTTTTTGATATAAAATGTCCCCAGTCCTGTTACGCTGACAGCCTGAGGCTGGAAAAAGAAGGACAAGCATTTGTAGGCTGAAAAACAGAGTGAGGACTTGTGAGAGCTTGCAAGGGGGGTGCCTGGTGCTCCTGGTGTAGAACACTTTTGCACACCTCAATCAGGCTTTTATTTGTGTACTTATATATAGCATAGATATGAAATATATCCTTTATGTCACTGTATTTAAAAAAAAAAAAGTCTATTTTATGTGTCTCAATTTACAGAGCAGCTGGTCTTTGGCACGTTTGCGGCAAATGTGTAAATGGCAGAGCAGTTCTGGGAAGAACAGCAGCACTTGCTGGCACAGGGGTGCCGGAACCCCTCAAGCCATCTGGGTAAGGGGAGGGGGCAGGGTAGGATCCCACCTCTTCCTTCAGGAGCTGTCTCCGAATATAGTTAGACACACTCTTCCAAATAGTCACGACATCTGGAAAGCAAGGGAAAGACACGTCAAGCTCCTAGTCAGCCAGCTCATGTCCCGTCTGCACATCTGTAGACAAGGAGATGGTGGATGCAAAAGTGTGCTTCAACAAGCCTCGCAGGATAAACCATCTGTGACACGGGCTGGGTTTTGACTGGCCTGGACCTTCTTCCAATGGGACATCTTTCCCTTCAGAGCCAGATCCCCAAGAGGAACCCACTGCCGAGGGAAACCTGTCCATGGGACTTCCACCATGGCAAGGGGAGAGTGCTGCCTGCACCAGGCTCTGCGGGGCGCAGGGTTGTCCCTAGGGGCCTCCCTCACAGGGACGAACCCCACTTCCCATGGTTTGTGCCCTTCATCCTGTCTGCAGTGATCCTCATCAGAAAGCTCCCGAAGGCCTTACCGTTCGTGGAAAGCTTCTTGAGAGTGGGAAACGTGATCATGCTGCAGAGCTCGATGTTGGTGAGCAGTGCTACCAGGTTTGTCACGTTCTTGCTTTGGGTCCTCATGCCAGGCTGCCGGGAGAAGGATTTTGATGTCTCCTCCTGGGGAAACAGTCCCTCTCTGATGTGCTGGCCTGTGCTTTCGCCAAACAGCTCCCGCACTGTCCCACCGCCTCCCTTCGTCCTCTGTGTCTCTGGGGTACAGGAGAGACTTCTCGCGTCCCCTGGCTCCGAGAGCTCACCGAGGTCTGGCAGGGAAGTGAGGGGAGGGTCCATGCGTGGGGCTGTGATGAGGAGGGGTCTGTGACGCAGGATGATGTCACAGAGGGATGTAGGATGATGTCACAGAGGGATGTTCCCAGTTCCCTCCATGCCTGCTGACACAGCGGGTTTGGTCCTGCAGCAAAAAGGGAGCTGCTGCCCTAAATACACCCCAGTCTATACTCCCCATGGAGGCCACAGTCGTCAGGCGCTTCTCCTGGTCTCCATGACCTCTCAAAGATGATGGAGAGTGGCCCTCAAACCAGGACACCCAGCAATGACTTCTGCCTGCTCCCTCAGCACTCATGGGTGGATCCCATCAGGTCCCATGGATTTGTGGGTGTCGAGTTTGCCTAAACGATCTCTAACCCGATGCTCCTAACCTAGGGAGAAATCTTCCTTTTCCCAGACTTTTCTGTTCTTTTTCCAGACCCTAGGCTGCATCCCCAGCAGGGCGAGGGGGGGAATCTGCCCCTCTGCTCCACTCTGGGGAGACACCACCCCCGCCCAGTGCTGCCTCCAGCTCTGGGGCCACCAGCATCAGGACATGGAGCTGTTGGAGCGGGGCCAGAGGAGGCCCCGGAGATGCTGAGAGGGCTGGAGCCCCTCTGCTGGGAGGGGGGGCTGAGAGAGTTGGGGGGGTTCAGCCTGGAGAAGAGAAGGCTCCGGGGAGACCTTGGAGCCCCTTCCAGTCCCTCAAGGGGCTCCAGGAAAGCTGGGGGGGTGTGTGTGTCTTGATCAGGGAGGGGAGCGATGGGACAAGGGGGAAGGGTTTGAAGCTGAAAGAGGGGAGATGGAGCTGAGATGTGGGGCAGAAGTTCTTTGGTGTGAGGGAGGTGAGAGCCTGGCCCAGGTTGCCCAGAGAAGCTGTGGCTGCCCCATCCCTGGAGGGGTTCAAGGGCAGGTTGGAGGGGGCTTGGAGCAACCTGGGCTGGTGGGAGGTGTCCCTGCCCAGGGCATGGGGGGACTGGGTGGTCTTTAAAGTCCCTTCCAACCCAAACCATTCCATGGTTTTTATGACTCTGTGACCATGCCCCTGCTGCCAAAAGCATGGGGAGGGAGCGTAGCCGCTGTCAGTAGTTTTGTGCTCGTCTAAGTTGTGGTGACAGGGACACCGAAATACAGACACTGCCGCAGGCACTTCCAGCTGCCATCACCTCCACACAGCAGGAGCTAAGATCAAGCCCAGTGCCTGCATCCTGCAGGAAGGTAAAACCAATTCTGAGGGAAAAAGGTCTCCATGTGTAAACTGTTGGGTGAGACTGCCCTCCCATTCACTGAATTTCACTGAATTTCTAGAGTTGGAAGGGACCATAGAGATCATCTAGTCCAACTCCCCTGCTGAAGCAGGATTGCCTAGAGCTAGAGCATGTGACTCAGGACCGCATCCAGGCGGGTTTTGAAAATCTCCAAAGAAGGGGACTCCACAACCTCCCTGGGCAGCCTGTTCCAGGGTTCCGTCACCCTCACCGTGAAGAAGTTTTTCCTCATATTTGAGTGGAACCTCTTATGTTCCAACTTGTGCCCGTTGCCCCTCGTCCTCTCAGTGGGAACCACTGAAAAGAGTCTGGCTCCCTCCTCCTTCAACCCTCCCTTGAGATACTTGTAGGCGTTGATAAGGTCTCCCCTCAGCCTTCTCTTCTCCAGACTAAAGAGTCCCAGCTCTCTCAGTCTCTCCTCATAAGGGAGATGCTCCAATCCTTGAATCATCTTTGTTGCCCTTCGCTGGACTCTTTCTAGTAGTTCCCTGTCCCTCTTGAACTGGGGAGCCCAGAACTGGACACAGTACTCCAGTTGTGGCCTCACCAGTGCAGAGTAGAGGGGGAGAATGACTTCCCTTGACTTGCTGGCAACACTCTTCCCTATACAACCCAAGATACCATTGGCCTCTTCTTTACACTTGTGGGAAACTAACGGAAAATTGGCAAGGAGGACTGTAAATACGCTCAAGTGACTCGCATGTGGGGTGCTGGAAAACACACCTATCACACTAATTGTTGCTTAGTTTTGTGTGCTCAACAAGTAGAACATCTGCACTTAGATAACATAGGCCTGGGATGGACTCAGGGGCACCTTATCAAACACGCCTGGGATTCTTGCCCTGCTGCTGAAGAGATCAAAGCACAGCAGAAAACTCTGCCTGCCAGAATCCTGGAAATACAGGCCCAAGCAGCAACTGGGAGCTCCCTCACTCCCTTGCTAACAAGGACTCTCTTGCTAATAAGGACTCTTGTTCCGCAGTGCCTATGTCCCCTGCTTGCCTGCTTCTGCCCGGGTGCTGCTTCAGAGGTTCCCGGATCCATGAGGTTGAATTAAAGAATAAAGCCAGGTATGACTTAGCAAATGTAGCCTGACTGACCACAAACAGGGGCCTGCACAAACAGGGGCCTGCAACCCCTGCAGGGCTACGATAAGGGACAAGACAAGAAGGCAGGCATGTAGGGAGTAATCCTGAGACCAGCACAATGTTATCTCTGACAAATGGGGGGCCCAAAGGTATGTTAATGAATTACTGGAAGGATATCTTGAAGCAGTAAAACAGTCATGTCAACCTTGCTGAGAGATAGGGGATTCAAAGAAGGAACCCAGCTGTCTTGAGAAGTCGATCATCCCAAAAGGTGAAAAGTGCACAGCGAGGAAGACATACGGCCTTCATCCCGAGACCCCGGCCCACGACCACCAGGAAGCACTGCGCATGAGCAACTGGGAGGAGTTAAAGGCGGAGACTCATTATAATAAAGACTGCCCTTTCGGGGACAGGTTATGAATATGTATAGGCGCCTTATGAATAGGGAATACTTCATTGTATAAGTTCAAGAGAAATGTCTCAGGTAGCACGCACATTTGGAGGAGCGATCCCCTGTGCGTCCAGCGCTGCAATAAAGGATACCTGCTTAATAGTCATCCCGGCTATTGAGTCCTGATTTCGTCTTTTACGGCATCAAGGTATCGACATTAAATTGTTCTTTGCCCTTAATCCATGGTTTTGTGGTTGTTCCTGCGTCCTGCCTGCATCGGCTCACACAACACTTAAGCACAAATCACATTGACACCGGCTGACAAACGCTTCAGCGAAGGGGAGCTGCCGTGAATCCCGACGGTATTTAGCCGGGCGAAGGAGCTGAGAGCGATCACCCCCACCCCTCAGCCGCCGCCATCCCGCCGTCACACCCGCCTCTCGCCGCTGCACTCGCACTGCGGCGGCTGGCGCGAGGCCGTTGCGCACAGCCCGCAGCGCTGCCTGCCGACGGCGAGCCCCGCCCCTCGGTTTGCACACGGCCCCTTGCTCTATAAAGGCACGGGGTGAGGGCGGTTGGGGTGGGTGTGGGCGTTGTGTGTGTGTGGGGTGTGGTGGGGAGCGGTCGGTGTGCGGTCTCCTCAAGGCCAGCCAGGGCTGCGTTTGCCTTCTGTGGGTGGCCGTTATACCTTGAGGGGGCGGGTTGTCTTTTCTAGGGGTGACAGTGCTGGGAAGGGCCTTTTCTCACAGAGGTGCTGAGTGCAGTTCCACGCTGGGATCGGGGAGGTTTGGGGAGGCTCAGCTGAGGGGAGTTCAGTTCCACTAATGGTCCAGGAGCAAGCTCCTTCTTAGAAAAGGCATTTTCCTTATCTGCAGGTGCGGGTACATTTCATTCTTGGAGATGGTGGGGAAGGCTTGAGTCAGGTACATGGTGCTGAGTGGTTAAAGGCTTAATGAGAAGGTGGCTCAACAGAATAGTTGGAGAGGAGTTGCTCCCTCCAATGCCTCCTTAAATTGTCCAAGCCTGGTGGTGGTTTTGAAAGGGGAGGGTTGAGTTTTGGCTGGAGGTGCCTTAAATGTGGAGAGCTGCTGTTTAGGGTTCTTTGGAAAGGTGTTGGTTGGCCCTTCAGAGCACTGCTTTCAAAGGCTTGGGTTTCACCTAAATAGGCCTACAATATTCTATTCACCACATACTGCAAGCTTGGGGGAGTTCTGTGCTGGTGTGACAAGGAAGATGCCAGTACTGGGGTTTATTAGATGAATTCCCCTGCCCCGTTTCATTAAAATTACGACATTTGTTTGAACCGACCCAGGTTAATTGTGCAGGAAGTGTTTGTGGGGTTGGGTACTGACTTGCGAAAGCTGAATAGCTGCAGCCTGGGCTTGCCCACACTTGTGAGCGGTGGTCGTACATGTGTTAATGCAGATGTTTTATTAACAGACAGAAGAGTATCTGCAAAATGGCAACTGCTCAGAAACAAAGGAATTGTGTGGTAGGATTTTCTTGTGTATTTCAGCACAATGTATTACTTGAATTGGATAAATTGGTAAATTTTAGCTGAAGTAGTGTACCTAGATGCTCTGTAATATTTCTTCACTTTAAAATTACTAATGGCTAATTCAACACTTAATTACAAATAAAATGCGTAATACTGAAGTAGTTTTAAGTCTGAACTTTGTGTCCTAAAAACATAGTAACACCTAGCGTTAGGCATATGCTTAACTTTATAAATGGCAAAAGTCAAACTTTTCAATGAAATTAAAACACTAAGGGGGCATTGTACCAGATTACAGACTGTACAGGTTTGTTGTTGTTGACAGATATTAATTCTTTTCTTTCTCCAACTTGCAGAGTGCAGTTGTTTTTCCTAACAAAATATCTACTGAACAGCAATCCCTGATGCTAGTGAAGAGGCTCCTGGCAGTAGCTGTGTCCTGCATTACATACCTGAGAGGCATCTTTCCTGAAAGTGCCTATGGAACAAGATACATGGACGGTAACAGGCAGTTTTTAGAATTCTTTCAAAATCTGTTGTTGTAGGGTTGTTATGAAGTTAATGAGTGTTTTTAAAGCCGCCTGGTTCTCTTAATTAAAGGTAATAGCCATTTGCAATGCTTGTAATGGAAGTTTCAATAGTAAGATATTGTTGAATTTTGCTAGAGAGTGGTGATGCTAATTCAGTGATTAAAACTGTGTCTACGTCTGTTGGTAAGGTTAATTTTAATCTGCTTTTGATACACTTTTTGATACTTTTAGTTAATGAACTTCACTGTGATAGCAATGCAGTTGCATTCTGTGCTAAGTAAATATCCATGTTTATATTCTTCTTCTGAGATATCTGTGTCAAAATTCTGCGGGAAGACAAGAACTGTCCTGGCTCTACTCAGCTGGTGAAATGGTATGTTAATTACAGTGCATATAGAACACTTCCACAGCATGTCAATTCTGAAAGATAATTTTCTAGTTGTTTCCAGCTACAAATAAAAAAGTTCACTTGCTGTGGATGAACAAGAGGCCAGGCAGTGCTTTTAGTGCATGGTATTTTCTATGTTGACAATTAATTTTTTTTTTTAAGTGAAAAGTCAAAATGTGTGTGTTTTGATAGAGATGTAATTGACTTCTACAGTTGTGTTTCTAGAAAGACTTACAACTTAGTGCTTAGTAGAGCATAAATACTTGTTTACAGAGTAATTATAGTTTAGTTTATGTGGGTGTATGTTAGTGCTCAAGGCTGCATGTAGATGCGAAGATCTAACCACTAATTCCCCTCTAATTGAACAGGAGATGCAATGTTAATGTTGAGTATCTGAATTTAAAGATCTTGCTTTCAGACTTATATAAGAAGGGGGTACTGTTGTTCTCTGTATCCAGAGGCAGAATTGTGTCTGCAAAGGACAGTCTGTCTGCTTGTACATTCACAGCTGAGTGCAAATATGTCACTTGGGACCAGAGGTATTTATTTTTATTTTCTTTCTGATCACAGTAATTGTGAGACTTGTCGTGGCTGCTCTCATTGCTGTTTAGAAAAGACTATATAAGGCCTTGCCTTAAATACAAATACTTATTTTTTGTAGATTTTTAGACGTATAAAGCCCATCTTTTTCTCTTTTCACTCTACCAGTTCTAGGACAAGGTGAGGCATTGGGAAGGATGCTGCATTCAGCAGAGGGGGTTTGCAGTGGCTGTCAGTGTTGAGGTGTTCAGAGATGTAGGTCTGAATTCTGATGTTGAAGGTGAAGTTAAGTCATCTGCTCTTTGTCCATGTGCCGTCACTAAGAGGGCTTCTTTTAGCGTAATGTGGAATTTCTTAATTGATCCTCTGTGGTAGAAGGAACTGAAGTGGCGCTGAGTGCACTTCACCTTGCCCTCATGCATCAGACATTAGCAAGGGCAGTGGCATGGCAGCCTGTGGATGCCGACAGGGAAAACCTCCCTGGGTTTTGTTTGAAAGGTGGGTGCTACCTGTTTGAAGTTTACAGGTTAGTAGCCTTTCTTAACTCGGCATCATGTGCACACCAAAACCAATTTTTGCTTGTTGTCTATATGCAAAAGAAATGTTAGAAAAAAAATAGGGTGAGTTTTGATTCACTATTTGGCTGTTGTTTGCATGTTATATAAAAAGCAAATTGCAACATCTGAGTAAGGACGGTGAAGTAACTCATTTGTGCTTCAGAGATGTCTGTGTTCGGCTGAAGTATATATTTATTTATAAACTGATAAATGAATACATGTGTAAGAAGGTGTTTGAAAATGGTACATGTACAATTGCATTATGTTTTTACTGATAAATTTACTTGCAGATTATATTTTTACTTATTCTGTAAAGAAGTTAGGATGATTTGGTGTTACTGCTTATCACTACTAGTAAGAACATAGAATAACAAAGTAAGTATCTGTTGCTGTAATATAATAGTAAGAGGGTGAAACAATTTAATTTCGGGAACTACTTTATTTAGCGGTGAAGCAAATGGAAATTAGTAGTAGATGGACAATGTTATTTAACTTTTGCAGGATGTTAGGATGCTATGATGCCTTGCAGAAGAAATATGTAAGTCTTCCATATCATTTAGCTATTTAAATGTATTGAAACATTCATTTATGTAAGTCCATTAGCTGTCAGTGTAGTTATAGGACTCTGGTTAGGAAATAGCTGTGCTTTAATATGTCAAAACAGTTTGCTACAATGTGGGATGTGCAGACATTGCAGGATAATAGCCTTTGTAAACAGAAACACTTAAAGTCAGGCATCAGGCATACGTAGGAATTTTCTTCTGCCAGTTGAGTAAGTCCTTTCTTAAACAGATGAGGAATTAAGTGTATGAAGAGGTTTCTCTTCAAGTGGGCCTTAGTTGTCTACATTGGTTTCCAGAGCTAGAAAAACAAAGCAGCTTAGTAAGCAGAAATGGGCTGTGGAATACATTTAATGTTCTTTTTCTTTCTCTAATTATGTTTGCAACAGCTAAGAATGATTGTCCTAGCAGTAAGTATCTGAGAAGTAAGGTACACATTTCTTAAGGTAGATGCTTAGAGATATGTACAGTTCTTACTTTGCTTCCTCTTTATTTTAAAAATGCAGGTCTATACCCATCCAGAAGATCCTCAGGTAAATCTGCTACAATATTACACTGGATGAAAGTATAATTATAGTGAAATATGTATACAAGCAATAGTACTTAACATTCACATTAAAAAAAAAAGACAAAATATCAAATGTAAGAATCACTAGAGCTAATCAGAATTGCTACACGGGGAATTGCCTTTGAATATTTAGTCAGGTTATTCTCAGGCCAGTGCAAGAAACTAAAGTGCCGTTGCAGAGTTAAATGCCCATGAAAATGAATCGTCCTAGCTCTGCATAAAAAATTTATGGAACTTCTTTGTGAAAAGCACAGTATGTTTTAAGTAACCACTGGGTGTCACCATGTCTCTGTTATGTGTGTGAAATACTGTCATAATAATTAAAATTTGAATTAATACTTCATTCTAAAAACCTAAGCTGATGTTTCAAGAACTTTATCATGGTGGTTCCTGGGAAATACTGTACGTCTTAATTTTTATTTAATGACAATTATACACACGAATACTGTCAATTGTTACAGCATTAGAAAGCTGTATTCAGTGCATGTAAGCGGATCAGAGAGGAGTTGGGCTATTGTTATTTTCTTTAAATTCAAGGTTGATAGACTACTAGACAGATGCAGCAGCAGTAGTTGTTTGCTCGGCAGTTGACAGCTTAATAATCACTGGATTTGTTTGCAGACAATTACAGAATGTTACCACTTCAAATTCAAGTACACCCACAATGGGCCACTCCTGGATTTCGGCAGGTACAGTCACTGTGACTTTATTCTGCACTGTGCTTTTACAGTCCATTTGCATACACTTGTATGTAAAAACTTCGGATTTATCTGTTTGGTGTTTTCTTTTTTAATTTGGGATTTTACCACAAATTTTATTAAATAGGCCATTAGCTTAGACTTAAAATACAGTGAGTCATCTTGTCAGATTATGCTTGTATGTATCTAATCAGATGACTCTTAGGATCAGAGTCCAATACTCTCTGACCAGGTTCTTTAAGATATTCCAGGTGTGGAGGGTGAAATGTTTAATATGAGATTGCTTATTTGAAGATACTTGGTGTTACGTGGGATTTCTCATTTAGCAGAGATGATACAAAATATGCTAAAAGCAACACAAAGGTAAGCTATTCTTAGGAAAGCAAGGCTATTGCAATACACGGTTCTGTCACGATACCAATGGGATTCCCATTGCTGGTCTCTGATATGCTCAGCATCATGACGCTGGGCATCCCCAGTCACAGGGAAGGAATACGTGGGTTGAAGCCAGCTCCAGCATGTTGTTCTCTTTGGAATTCTTTTGTTAGTAGTTCTTGTACTTTTTGGACTGAGCCACATATTCCTTTCTCCCATGGTGGTGTGGCTAATTCAAGGAGGCATTCACACACTTCTAATGAATGCAGAGAGAAACATTTACACCACTAGTTGATCTACTCAACTAGCTGTTTATCTAAAATGAAGGCCATGCTCGGGTCCCCTGTGTGTTGAAATAAAGTCAGCTTTCTTTGCAACAGCTGTGGTCAGTGATACCCTGTGTTATTGCCTGAGCTGCATGGGCACACTGCCCTTGCTCATTGCTGCTGAGCCTTTTCCCATTGTCGAGGTTTATTGGTCAGTCACAGCTGCAAGAAAATGGCTTATTTTAAGGCAAGTAAGCTTTCACCTCACCAGCTTGCATCTTGCATAAAATGCTTTTAAAATAAAAAAAAAAAAAAGACTGCAGTGCTGCAGACATCAGTCCTTTGGGCTGAGTTTAGTTAAGTAAAAAACACTGATGGAAGGGGATGTTGCTCTCAGCCACACCAAGTTACATTAGTGTATTAGTGTAAGTTCATGCCAGAATAATTTGAAAATAGAAGATGTGAGCCTGCTTTTCTTGACACCCTGCAGGGAAAGGGGATGGCCACCTGCAGATGGACCAGATGTTTGAAACTGTCACAGTTAAGGGTGTGCTTCCAAAAGGCAGAGCTACTCAATCTTACAGTTGCTTGCCTTGTGCTGGCTCTTTAGGTCCTTGGGGTCTTCTCTGAGCTGTGTGGCTGTGAGGAGCAGGGGAGAGCATTTTTAGTGGTAGTAATGTAGGGTTTGGGTCAACTGCTGGTAGAACAGGAGCATAGAAATGTTGGAGCTGAAGGCCAAGAGTCATTTAGGTATGCAGTGTCTTATCAGTAACCATTCCTGTCGAAGTCAGGAGTGTTACTTGTTTTATTTAAGGCAAAGCAAGTATGTAAGACTTTGCAGAATTGGGGCTTTCAAAAATACCTGCTCTTTCCTTTCTGTCAGAATGGGTGTCTTTTAAGCATTGCGTAATGTAAAATGCAGCAGCAGGTCACTGCTGCTGATCCATAATGCTTTCACTCTGTCCCTGGCTCAGACTTTGATTTTCCAAGGGCCAGCAAATGTGCAGGTCACTTGGACAGTATTAGGAATTGCAGTGGTTGCAACCTCAGACCTTAGACAATAAATGTGATGCCTGCTTCTGGCATAGTCTGTTGAACAGACATGTATCTTAATAATAAAAACAATTGCTCTGTGTATAAAAAAAAATAAATCTGAGTACTTTGTCCATTTTCAGTAACAGTAAAAGGAATGATTCCACTATCACCTGTGCAGACACCAAGAAAGCAAGTATCCTCCTGATTCGCAAAATTTATGTTCTGATGCAAAACCTGAGTCCGTTACCAAATGATGTTTGCCTGACTATGAAGCTGTTTTATTATGATGAAGGTAGTATTTCCGTATTGCCTCGATTTCAAATATTGGCAAACAAGTCAAAGAAATCTTTTAATGTATAATCTTTATGGTTGCTGAGACTTGTTAAATGCTGTTATTTTGCATGTGTCTGTTTCTCACAAATTTCTAAAATGCAAGGGGATGGATTTGATTTCACTGTGGGAATACATTCTTGTCACTGTCTTTGGAGCAAAGATTTCAGTGTGTTTTAAAAAAAGTGCGTTTTCCTGAGAATGCTAGGATGTAACATTTGCCAGACTAGCTCTAGTCTTGATGACTATTTAAATGTTTAGCTCTGCTTTATAATGAAAAATCAGAGCTCCTAGCTCATCTCTCTGCATGCTTAAACTGCTTCAGATAGTTTTAACTGGGTTTTACCTGTTGTGTAAGGGAAAAAGAACTTCATTCAGTACAAGTTGAATATTGATTATACCCGTCCCCACACACAATTTTTTGGAGTAGCTCTTTGTATTTAAAGGGGAAAAGAGTCTTTTTGCCCCACAAGTTAAAATTAATTTTACAAGAATGTGTTTAATTCTAATGCATTTATTGAACTCTTTTCTGCAGTTACGCCATCTGATTACCAACCGCCTGGTTTTAAAGAGGGTGAATGTGAGGGAGTGATATTTGAGGGGGAGCCTATGTATCTGAATGTGGGTGAAGTGCCAACGCCATTTCATATGCTGAAAGTTAAAGTTACAACTGAAAAACAACGAATGGAAAATGTTGATAAAAGCATCCTAAAGAGCGGAGAGACTACTGTGCCACTCCAGATGCTCAGAGTGGACAGAGATGAAGAAGAGGAGAACCAGAACATGAATGTAAGAGTGCAAATGCTTTATGTAGCTTGTTGAATTTTTTGGGGGGTTTATACTCTAGAAAAAAGCCATTAATTGTTTTATTGCATGTCTTACTACAACATTAATAAAACCCCTCTGTGTTTCTGGATATATTCAAGCAAGACAATATGCCTTCAATACACTTTAATTTTACTGCTCCAGTTAGCAATCTGTCACTGTTAAAGCAATATTGAAAAAGTGCATCAGCGTATTGCCTGTCAGCAGCAGTGTTGTTGGTAATTGTGTCTCTGCAAGAGTGGAGAGGAGCTGAGGGGCAGCTTTGTGCTGTGGGTACAGGTACCATGTGTTCAGCTTCATGCAGGGCATGCAGGTGAAACCTCCCTGGAGCTGTCCTGTTACAGTCCCAAGGGAGCTGCTGCAGCCAGACAATATTGACTGGCAATATGTTTACTCTGGGATCTTCTTGTACAGCAGTATACGTATGGATAGTGATGGCACAGCTAAAGTTAAAAACCCCAATACAGAATTAAGCTTGTTTTTCCCTAGGGAAATCTGCCTAGAAAAAGGCACCAAGCAAAACTTGCTGAAGGCATGAGTGCATGACAGATGTGAGTGCCTGAGGTGACTCTTGGGACTATGCTTGTGTAGGCTTCAGCAATTGGAGGGGATATATTTCTGGGGTCAGCTGAGGCAGGCAGCAAATTCCTGTAGTCATATTAGAATGTGCAAATATGTGTGCTAATCTATATTGTCCATAAGTGAGAAGGAAGCGGAGCTTGAGGGCTTTTGGCCTCTCCCCTGCAATTAGCATTGCTATGGTGGCCCGTGGGTAATGAGATGGAAATAAACCACTTGGCCTTCCTAAATCTGTGTATGCCTCTAGCTGTTTCATAAGCAAAAGGAAGGCACAGATAGTATTTTTTCAATATCTGTTGTTACAATTCTAGTATTTTTTTTACAGATTTTTTTCTTGGTTGTTGAATTAAATGTGTACTTGCATTAATAATGAAGTAAAACTGAGCTAGTCTGTATGTTCCATGTCAGATTCAATCATTTCAATATAATTTGTTCCACTGAGAATCCATCTAATAAGCTCTATCCCTAAGCATCTGAGTATGAACCTGCTTCCTTATTTGTCTGCAATTAATTGATAGACCTGTTTCTCAACCTAGGAAGATCCTGTTTCGGATAATAAAGTGGAAGATAGAAATAATGTAAATATTTCAGAAGCTCAAGGTAACATTTCTGTATATTTTCAAGTTTCTTCGGTTTGTGCCTCTCTCTTCTGATGTTACTAAAACAAAAAACTTAATTCCTGGAATAGACCACTATATCCAGATCCGCATTTTTTCTTCATGTACATCACTATCCCCATGGTTTGGATGGGAGTACTCTGTGCTGGGTTAAAAACTGGCTGGAGTCTGGGCCCAGAGAGTGGTGGTGAATGGAATTAAATCCAGTTGGCGGCCGGTCATGATTGATGTTCCCCAGGGCTTGGTACTGGGGCTGGTTCTCTTTAACATCTTTAACATCAATGATCTGGTGGAGGGCATTGAGTGCACCCTCAGTAAGTTTGCAAATGACACCAAGTTGGGTGGGAGCGTTGACCTGCTTGAGGGTAGAAAGGCTTTGCAGAGGGATCTGGACAGTGTAGATGGATGGGCTGAGGCCAATGGGATGAGGCTCAGTAAGGCCAAGTGCTGAGTCCTGCATTTGGGTCACACCAACCCCTGCAGTGCTACAGCCTGGGGGCAGAGTGGCTGGAGCTGCCTGGCAGAAGAGGACCTGGGGGTGTTGGTTGACTGTCGGCTGAACAGGAGCCAGCAGTGTGCCCAGGTGGCCAAGAAGGCCACCAGCATCCTAGCCTGTATCAGGAACAGCGTGGTGAGTAGGACTCAGGAGGTGATTGTCCCCCCTGTCCTGGGCACTGGTGAGGCCCCACCTGGAGGGTTATGTCCAGTTTTGGGCCCCTTTCACAAAAAAAAAGACATTGAGGGTCTGGGGTGGGTCCAGAGAAGGGCAACAAAGCTGGTGAAGGATCTGGAGAATAACTAGTCATATGAGGAGTGGCTGAGGGAGCCTGGAGAAAAGGAGGCTGAGGGGGAGACCTTCTCCCTCTCTACAACTCCCTGAAAGGAGGGTGTAGCCAGGGGGGGTCGGTCTCTTCTCCCAAGGAACAGGCGATGGGACAAGAGGAAATGGCCTCAAGTTGCACCAGGGGAGGTTCAGATTGGATATTAGGAAAAATTTTTACAGGGAAAGGGTTATTAAGCCTTGGAATGGGCTGCCCAGGGAAGTGGTTGAGGCGTCATCCCTGGAGGGATTCAAAAGACGGGTTGACATAGTGCTTAGAGACATGGGTTAGTGATGGTTGGTTTGTTTGGTTTTTATCAGAGTTAGGTTGATGGTTGGACTAGATGATCTTGAAGGTCCCTTCCAACCCAGACAATTCTATGATTATATGATTCTCTGCCTCTTTTTTTCTCTCATGGCTTTGTTCTGTGAAGCACTTGATTAGTGAATGCATGTTTTCATGTTTCTGTTCTAAAATTCTGCTCTTCTGTTCCATTTTATCAGATAAAATTTAATGGGCTATTGGGGTAAATTTTGTGCTTTGATTTTTCTGTTGTTACTATGTTTTTACTAATATATTTAATTTCTGCCTAAAGCTTGCGGAGGTGTTGGCCTTTTGAGCTCATTATTGCAGACAAGAGAAGCAGAATTCTCCATTCAAAAAACGGTCCAGGTCTATTTTTATGTAAATCATGGCTGTTTGGACTGTATCCTTGCAACTTCAGCATTAAATAAGCTTAGCAGAAATACCACTTAGCAAACCTTTTTCCTTAAGCTCTGACTACAGCAGGACTAGGATTCTGCAATCCATACATGCTTCAGTCTGTGTGGTTCTGGGGAAATTGAGACCACTGAGGCTTTTGTGCAGAATTCTGAGGTTTTATGTTGTGGTAGACTGAATGATGTCCATGTAAAAATCCCTATCCATATGGTACATGTCATTCTGTACGATGGAAGTTGTTCATTACTGTGGCTTGCTTTTCCTGATACAATCAGTAACTTCATCTCAAAGTATATTTGTTTTATGAATGATGGTGTGATTATGCTGTACTGCTGGCTATTTTAGTGCCTTTTCCAGCTGCTTGCTTTCACAGCTTACTGCGTACATGGAACATTTTGATAATCGCAAGTGAACTTTTAACTTTAGTTTCAATAGGTACAAGTTTCAGCACAGCATTTTTGTTAGTATGAATCTCAGTGAACCAAGTTTCCTCAAGTAAAACCCTAACACCATGAAACCTGGCAGTGTAAAACTGCAAACAATGTGTGTAGCAACAAAAAGTAAATTCCAGATGGAAGCCTGTAAGGCTTCTCAAGAAGGTACCAAAAACATTTACTTTTTTTATTTTAAAAAAGTTGCATGTAACAGCTTCAATAAGCAGCTGAAGTGAGGCTTCTGCAGAGACTATAAATGAAATCTTAAGTTTTGGAAGCACTCTGAGGACTCTTCACACCTGAAAAGAGTCTGCATTTCTGGAGTTACCAGAATAATAATAATAAACAGTTATGCCCTTCCCACTGTGCAGGACGTCAGGAAGTACCTGCTCATTGTTTCTGATGAAAAACAGCAGCACCTGCTTTGTTGGATTTTTTTTTTTAGCCTTCATAAATAGATAGTTTCTGTGCTTTTTGCTTACTGTAATCTGACTGCAGAAGTGCTAATAAAATAACTGTCCTGGCTACACCAGCCTGACCACAGCTGCTACTGGAGATGTGCCCTGGAAGCTCCCCACTGGTTTGCTTTTTAATCAGTGGACCCAGACTGTCTCCAGTTCAAAATGTGAGACAGCAAACTCTGTCCATGAGGATCTCTGTGAGCAGAAGCTTGCTTTGGTTTAAGATTTTAGAGCAACTAGGAGGAAAAGTAGAAGATGATTTGCCTTTGTATTTCCCAGTATAGCCCAGGAGTTCAAAGGTTGAACTTTGCTACCAAACAAACTAAAGAATGCATTGCTGTGTGTTGATCTGCTCGTGCTGGAGAGGCATTGTAGGAAGCATCCAGACATTTGCTGTATGTAAAGCATTTAAAACATAGTGAAGAAAGATCAAAAGAGGAAATAAGTGCCCTTTTTCAAAGAAGATTTAGTAGAGATTATGTAGATGAGTATGCTCCAAAGTGCTCTCGTATGCTGGTGTAAAATAGGGTGCCTAAAGGAATACAAATTTCGGGGCTGAAGTAAAAAATGCAAATTTTCGAACCAAATCGGAATGGGGGGAAAGTTTTATTTGGTAAGAAGCCAATATAAAATGATCCTTTTCTGTAGCAGAGGTAGAGGCTTCTGTGGAGATGATGAATATGTGGCACTCCTAAAGTGCCTGTTAGTGCTGCTGCTGGGTCTGCTCATTGTTCTTAATGCATTTCCCTGGAGCTGCATCTGCTTTGAAATATAACTTTGGTTTGGCCAACTTCAGAAGTACCAATTTTCCATTAAAAACTTCTAGACATACTACTAGACATACTTCTAGACAAACTTCTAGACTACTTCTAGACATAGCGGCTTCTTGGGCTGCCATGGTGCCCAAGTGCTTGTGGATGTGCTTGGACAAAGCAAGTTAAGCCTGGATTTTGTTTTTTTAAAATGGGCTGGAGTCTCCTGTTATTCAAGCCCAACACTGAACAGGCTGTGCTGTGTATTTAAATAGTGGCATTAAATGTTGGGGGTTTTTTTTCAGAAATAAAATGTGGAACTTTGCAAAAACAGCTAACATTTCCATGCTGTTCAAAATAATAACAGAAGTGTGTAGGAAACAGCATGTGTAGATCAGCATTTTTATCTTGACCATGGTATTAGGCTGCAGAACTAGAATAACCACATAACTGTGTCGGGTGCTTTTGGAAATTCGTAGAAGTTCTGAAACCAGGCAAAAAAGCAGTGAATTGCTTGTGCTAAGGAGTTAGTGTAATCATAGAATCATAGAATCGTCTAGGTTGTAATGTTTTATTTATAGGAACTACAAGACATAGGAAAAGGCATTTGTCACCCTAAAGTTCTTAATCTTTAACCAGTTCATGCTTATATCTGTATCCTAGAAAAAAATGTCATGGATTAGAAACACCACCACCACTCTCCAGTGCTTCCTGCTCCCTGGCCTGTTCCTGCAGCTGCAGGCGCTGCAGCCAGAGCTGCTGGGCTGAGTGTAGCTGGTTACAGAATGGAAGCCGCCTGCTGGTGATGGGGTCAGAGTAGGCAGAGGCTGTGCCAGAGTGGCCCTGCAGTGCCCTGTGCCCGTTCGGCAGCACAAAATGGGCTCATGAGGCATGTTACTTGGAAGCAAATACCAGTGTAGATGAGCCTGTAGTGGTACAGTGTATGAGTTTGGGGATCAAACCCACTCCTCCGAAGATTGTGTAAATCTGTACTACTTAGCATAAGCATCTCTTGGGTGCCTGTGACAGGAAGACATGGTAGGAAGTCACTAAATGAAGGGTGTGAGAGTCTAACACTTGGAGTTAAAGACTTGCTTGCACATCGAGAATTAGAGCCCTTTTGAAGCACCTGTTCCCTGCATTTATATGGCGTTCCTTGTGGCAAAACTTGAGTGTTAAGAGGATGCTAGTGTGTTATCAGCAGTGTGCTTCATTATTTAACAACTCTTTTATAGAGCCAAATTTAACTTGCGAAGAAGATGAAGTTATGAAGGCTGGAGGGAACCAGAATCTGTATGTTTCTAATCCTCAGGTATGAAAACTGCATTCTGTGATCTTAAACTATTACTAGAGCTTTTGTGAATCTTCTTTCCTACTTTGAATGATTAATAGGTAATCTGGTAAAGGTTTACTCGCCACAGTCAGTATTTTCAGGAATAAAATGCCTTTACGTTTTACTTTCTGGTGTTTTACAAAAGCACTTAATATTCTAAAGCAATCAAAAAGCAACAAAGGATGTTCATCTGTCATACAGTTTTCAAACCAAACAGGTGGTCTGACTTACTAAGAGAATTGGGAACGTAATTTCCATGTTTATAAACTGCCATAGCTAAGCACTCTGCCTAATAGAAATTTCTCTGCTAATTCTGAGAGACCAAAACTTGTTTAAAGGTTGACTAAAACTTAAAATGCAGGTTTATTAGCCTTAAAACTCAGGATATATTCCCTGCATCTAGAAGTGGCATAATCTAAATTACACCAGTGGAGAACTACTTCAAATGCAGGTCCTTAAGATTTCTTAAAAACAGAATAGCCGTAGGTAACCATGAGTGACTTAATGTATAAAAATAACTGCTGCTTTGATCCATCAGGGCTCTTTGACACATTCAGCTGTAAATCGTGCTGTTGACTTCAATGGGGATACTCCTGTATTTCAGTTTCACGTGCTGAGCAGAGCCAGAGCTCTTTGCACGCTGCAGCATTGAACCATGCTGTAAACTCTAATATATATATGTATTTACTACTGTCCCAAGCTAACGTCTATTTTCTGATTTTTTTTTTTTTTAGGTTGATCATTTGGCAAGTAAGACATCTGAACTTAATGTGTCAGAGAGCAGGACAAGAAGTGGAAAGCTATTTCAGGCCAGCACTGTTAGTATGGTTTTTTTGTCTAATTCTGTTCTTTCATTTTATCTTCATCTTTAAGCCATTTTCTGTTCCAGTGAACAAAACTCTAAGCTTTAATACATTTTGACAGAATTAAATTCTCATCACTTCTAAAATTCCCATTAAATTCAACACATTTGAATTCTTACTGTCAAAAAAAAAAAAGTTCCAAAGAGTTAAAAGCTGAGTGTTGATGTAATTAACACAGGTTTAAGATCCATTAGGATTGGTTTATATATTGTTGAGAATGCATTTAGCCAAATTCCACGCTGGCTTAATCCATAGTTGATGGGAGTGTGTGCCAGCAGAGATCCCTGGCCCAGTGTACCATATGCTTGCTAGTGACTTTACAAAGAAAACATGAGGCCAAAATTCAAACCTTGGTTCTGTGACTCATTCATACCAAGAAAAATCCGTTATTTCTTTGCTTAGTCAAGCCGCAGCAGGTGGCTTTTGTAGTTGATGCTACTTATGGGGAGACAAACTCCTCCAGCTTTGTGCAGGTGGAGCAGAAGTTGTCTTTGAATTTGGCCTCTGGGGATGGCGTTGGGGTCCTGTCTGTCGCTGCTGCCTCCACCAGCTGAGTTCGGTAGCTTCAGCTTTGGGAGGCTCTGGGTCCTTCACAAGATCTCAACATCTCTCATACTTGTGAATGTTCAGAGTCACTGGTAGGCTCTTCTCAGAAAAAGTTGTGGGGTGAATACTGCTGTTGTAGTAAATGAGAGCTCTTTGTTGACAGTCAAGGAGGGGGAATTGTGTGTCAGGACCAAGGAAAGTTGTACCTTCCTGTCCCTGCTCAGGAAAGCTCTTTATTAATTTTCAGTGCAGTAGTTGTGTAAGGATTCATAATGTGCATCTCAAATGTTGCCACTAGCCTTCTCTTATTTCTGTAGAGGCTGGTGGAAATAAAGCTTGGGAGCGTGCAAAATGCATTCCCCAGCAGAACGTTCTAAAGAAATCCAGAAGAGAAATTTTGGTCTGTTGTAAAAATATCCGGGTATGAAAGCTGCATGTGAAAAGGGCTATCGGAGTTTGCAACAAATTCGTGAAATGGAGATGTTAAATTCAGAATATAGAACTAGTAGATTAGTCTTTTTCTAGAGTACTGCTTACTGCAGAATAGATTTTTTTTTTTTTTAGTTCCAACCCCAGGGTCATGGGCAGTATTTTTTTGTCACTCACTGATGTGAAAAAATCCCAACATACCATTCTGTATGCTCACTATCCCTATATCTTTCTTCTTTTTTTAAAAAAAGTTTTGTTAATGAACTTAATACTAGAATTTAAATGAAACATTGTTGCTTTAAATAATCAAAAGCAAAGCAGAGGTAAAGGCTGAATTGTCATGTCTGCACACTTGTGGAAGTCAGAAGTGGATTGCCATTGCTAAGGTGAGGCTGTATGGTGCTGAGGCCTGGCCATTGGCCTGGGGTTGCACTGCTGTGCCAGACACTCCCGGTGCCACCGGCAGTGCCTCTTCCCATCCTGTCCTAGCCGGGGCTGCAGCCTTGGCTCCTGCTCGGGCAGCTGGACTCTGGGCATGCTGCCTCTGCTGCAGGGGCTCGGCCCTCCTCACGTTCCCTTGGAGGTGCTGCCATTGCAGCAGAAACGCATCCCTGCACTCCTGCAGTGATGCGCAGGGAGGGTTGATTCTGCCACAAAAGAGCATCCAGATGTTACTCCGGGCTCAGCCCCTCTGGGCAGGGTCCAGGTGACAGTGAAGTCGAGCCCAGCGCTTGACATGAAGCTCTTACTACATCATGTGGTGGCTCGCTGGGGGTGGGCGCTTCCCGGGTTGGGGTCGGTTGTGTGGGGAGCAGGCTGGGCTGTGACACCATGGTTATTCTCCCTGGCAGGTCCATCAGTTCGAGCTCTCATCGAGTCAAGATGTGCTGCCCAAAAGGAGGAAGATCAGTGAGCCGAAGGAGCAGTTCTAGATGCCTGTCTCCCTCCTGTTTGTTTATGGAGTTCTCCACACCTCTTCTAGTTCGTTGTTTAATGTGGTTGTTCAGACTTTGATAACTTTTAGGGATCTTTTCTGTTCTATTTGTGATCTAAATGGGGAGTATTTTAAGGAAATAAGATCTGTTAAGAGGCACAGCTGAAGAAATCGGAACAATGTTCTTGGAAGGCCTTACCCCATCAGGGAAGACAGAAGGATGTGATGTGGGGGATTTGCCTCCATGCGGATACCACGTGTAAATCCCGGTGGCCATCATGTTGTGGTCACAGCCCACTACCCGGTTTCTCTCCTGCCAAAGCTGTGGAGCTCCCAGCCCAGCCTCCCCCTGATGGCGTATGGACCCCAGGGCTCTTTCCACAGCCTTGCCCAGGGTTGCCAGTTGCAGCAGGGTTATATTTTTCACAGTTCCTATTGGGACAATTACTGGGTGTTGATGCTTTGGCACCTTCATCCCTTCAAGTACATACTTCATGCCAAAATGTGGGAGTTTCTGTACAGCTGTGATGAGATGTAATTACAAAGGAAGTGTTCAATGGTGGCAGGCATCTACTGTAATGGTGTGAGATGAAGAAATACTTAAAATGATTAACGGCAGTATTAATTGGTGCCATTTGCTCTAACCAAAGCCTGTTTGTTGTTCCAGTGCTGCAGGTGGAGGGGGATCTGAGGCTGTTCCTGCGGGGGGGTGTGGGGGTGCGCTGAGCGTTCCTGGAGACGTTTGACTCCTCGATTCACCAAGTCCTTTCAGCCTCGCGGCATTAGAGCTCCGTTGCGCCGCGGAGGCGGGGGGGAGGACGGTGCTCGGCGGGGCCGCCCCCGGGGCGCAGGAAGCGCCGGGACCGGCCCCGCCCCCGCCCCCCGGAAGCGTTTCCGCGCGTCGGCCCCGGGAGCGGGGCAGGGGCGGCGGGACCCGCCGGGCGCGGTAAGGGCGGGCGGGCTGCCCCCGGCCCGGCGCGTTTCGCGGTGTGGAGCTGCGGGATCTCGTTGCCGCTGCGTGGGGCGGCGGGTGCTGACGGGGGTGGGCGGCGCGAACCCGGCCCCGCGGCTCTTCGGCCGCCGCGAGGGGGTAAGAGGGAGCCGGGCCGAGGGGGCTGCCCTGTGTCCCGCGTCCCGTCCGCGTGCGGGGCCTCATCTCCCGTGGAGGCCCTGGGGGGAAGGGACTCGGCTGTGGCTCCCATCTCATCTGCTCGGGTGCGTCGCCGGCTGCTCCCCGTCAGTGACTCCGGTATGGCCACCCTGGGAAGGGTGAGCCGAAAACCTCGGGATGGAAGGGACAAGCGTCCCTCGGCCTTGTCTGGGCCTCCCTGCGCGTTGGGGCTTGTGGCCTAGCGCTGGCGTAGCCCATCGTGTTTAGGAACGGGGCAGACTTCAGTTCTCTGTGTGCCTAGCCAGGAGGGGGAGATGACGACGCTGACACACCGAGCGCGGCGTGCTGAGGTGGGAAGGAACTTGGATAAGAAGCACGACAGCGAGGAAGATGTGGCTGCAGACAGAGACCTAAACGATAATGATCCTGATGACTCCAAAGACATCCGCCTCACGCTCATGGAGGAAGTGTTGCTCCTGGGGCTGAAGGACAAGGAGGTAAGGCAGGCGTCGCCAGCGGCAGCACTGCCTTGGTGTACAGGGGAGGGGAGGATCTCGGCTTGTACAAGGATTGTATGAGTTTCTCTGGATCCCCTTCAACAAAGCCAGCCTGCTTCATGCCAGTCACCTTTGTCTATAGCTTAAACTGAGCTGCGGAGACTGCTTCCAAGTGCTGTCCCACCTGCTCTGCCCCGGGGACTCTAAGAAGTGCCTGGAGGCAGGGCTGCCTGATGGCATTGTGCGACTGCCATTTGCAGAGCAAAGGCAGGTTTGTTCTATGTGGGGTAAACAGAGTCTCACCTTGTGTGTCAGATGGGTTAGGGAGGAGGACGTTTGTTCAAGTGCACTTTCCTGTTCAAAACCATCAGCTGAAGCACAAGGGACACTCTGAGCAGTTTCCACTTTGGTAAAAATTGATGTGAGAAATTGCAGGGGCAGGTTTTCAGAGAAGAGGGCAAGGTGAAAGAAAGCAGCTAGACCTGGAGCTGAAAGCAGGTGTGGGATGGGTGTGAATCAGGGCAGTGGTGAAGGAGGTAGGAGCCGCATCTCTATTCAGGCCAGTAATTGCCTCAGCTGGGCAGGAATGGCATCGTGCAGCTCCAGGTGGGAGGGAAGTGGGACTGGATGGGAATCCCTTCGCTGGACACTTGCCCATGTGTGCTGGTTTAGTGGCTTTCCTGGGCAGCAGTGGATGAACTTCACAGCCGGTTATTTTCAGGGGGTTATTCTCTGCTGGAGAGGGACCCTGGTCAAACTGAATTGTTTAGTGCTTACAGCTGGTAGGAACTTGTTTCTCAACTCTGCCTAGAACAAGCCATGGGGAAAGGAGAAGACATCTTTTGCTGAGTTCTCTGAGCTGCTTTGCTGGCATGCCTCATCATCTTGATCTCTGGGGGAATTTGATGCTGCTATTCCTGTCAAGCAAATGGGGAAATCGAGACCAAGGGAAGCTAAACAGTTGCCCAAGGTGCTTCTTGGGATAGTAATGGCAGAGGAGAGACTTAAACATGGGTTTTTCAGCTCCAGGAGCACTCTTCCTGTGAGCCTGTCTCCCACCCTGAGGGAGATGCTGTGGTTGTCAAAGCTGTGGTAGATGGACCACCTTCTCTTCATGTTTGTGTTGAAATTAGGCCCCTGTGAGTGAGGTTCCTGAGCTTTTTTTCTCCTGTAGGGCCCTGCTGGTGCTGAGTTGGTCTGACTGAGCTGGTGCCTTGCTCCCATGTAGACCTGCTCAGGCCATGGCTCTTGATGTGGACCATGCTCACAGATCTGGCAGGGAAGAGCTGTGGGTTGTATGGGAGGCTTGTAGTTTAACAACCCCAGATAAGATCTAGGACTTGCTGAGCCAAAAAGGAAGTAACAAGACAGCAGGGATATAAAGAGAAAATCATGCAAATAATTGTGGAGCAAATATTTGAGAGCAGCCTAGGAGTGTGGCGTGGTCTGCTTTCTTCCTGGGTTGTTTAGCATTCTTGGCTTGGTTAATGTATTCCTGGGAATGGTCCTTCAGCCACCAGGAAGTTAGGAGAGCACAACAGATAAGAAAAAACCCCACCTTGTCGTCATTTTTTTTTTTTTTTCCTCCATCCTGTCCTTCTGCATTCCTCCATCTCCAAAGGAAGACCAGAGGCAGCAGTAGCCATGAGATTAGCTCCCAGGCATTGCATTTTCCCAGCTTTGTTGTTCACTCATGGTTTGATGCCTAGAAAAAAAACAAGATGATTTTAGCCAAGTCCAGTGAGTTCATCATGTAAAGTACCAGCCTGTCCATCTAGGAGAAATTGGCTGCACACCAGCATGGTGTTTGTAACCAGTCTGATTCCAGAAGTCGAAAGTAATCCAGGGGCTTTCACTTTGTTTGATTTAACACCCCTAACATTTTCTAGGGGTAGCATGCCTTCTAGCCCAGTCAATCGAAACTTTCAGTTGCCTCCACACCCTTTTCTGGAAACCTTGTTCCTAAAGGGCACATGCAAAAACCAGTGTGTCTCCCATGGGTGGAAATCACTAGGGCAGGGATGAAAGGTTGCTTTGTCTTTCCTCACACGGAAATGAAGAAAGCAAATAAGGATTTTCTTTTCTTTTATGGTTCTCTGTGCTATGCGAGTTGAGCAACCAAACCGGTGTCCAGATGCACTGTATAAACAGAAACGCTGGGGACGAGAGTTTACCCATATGGACTGTAAAAGCTTCTGTGCAGGAGGGCTGTGTATTCTCACCTTTTTTGCCTTAGGAAGGGGACTTGGTGGGTTGCTTTGTCTGCATCTCCTGGCAGCTTTTACACCTGCCCTTTCTCTCTTCCACCCCCCAGAGAAAAGAGCAACAGAAAGGGAGTTGCGAACAGGCTGTAGCATTCTGGTGTGTTGGCATCCCCCTGCAAACAAGCACATTGTGGCTTTGCATCCTGGTTTGAGTCACCCTTCCCTTGGGCCCATCTTGGACACCAGTGCCTGCCCCTTTCCCAACCCCACTGCCTGCCTGGATGAGCCTCTCCCCGCTGGCCCTGAAACCCATGGATTGCTGCCCTGCTTCTCAGAATGAGGACCCCCTCCTGTGGTGGGCTCGGAGAACAGGGCTTAGGGCCAGGTGTGGAATGTGCCAAGTTCGAGGAGATCTGGTCACCAGCAGCCCCAGCACTGCCCTGCTGGTGGGACCCGAACTGCTGCCCCCCCGCCCTGAGGTGTCCACTCTGGCGAGAGAGGAGGGGATGTATTTTCCCATCCTTCATCCATGGCTGGAGATCTTCTCTTCCCTCGCAGAGCTGTGCAGGTGGATTTGAGGGAGGGGAGTGTAATGAGGGTGGGCGAGGGGGTGGGCAAGCTCTTGTGCCCTGTGGTGGGCCTGGGGCTGTGCCCTGTGGGATGGTGCTGTGTGTAGTGGGGTAACTCTTCTTCACAAGCCTGATGGGCAATTCCTTCATACAGCTAATTACTGTCATGGCATGCCTGGAGCTGGTGGGGCTTTCTTCAAGAGATTTTGCCTCTTGTTTTCCCTGGGCATGTCTGCAGCAGGTACTGGGGCAGGACAGAGCAGAGTTGGCGTTGCTGGTGCAGCAGCAGCAGTGTCCTCCTGTGGCCAGGAGCTTGCCAGGGGAAAGGGCCCTGCTTTTCTTGTTCTTGCTCTGTTTTTTTTACGATCCGGGGTTGGGCGCAGCTGCCTGGCCAGTGCTGGGTGGCTGCGGGTGCAGCGGGAAGGGCACGGCCTGAATTGCTCAATGTTTGCAGGGGAGAGGGTGTTAGTCGGGGCTGCTGAGCACTTTTCACTTGGCGGGGAAAGCCCTTTGGCTGAAGAGGCAGAACTGTTAGTGAGAGGTGGAAGTCACCTGGGTAGGGGTGGAGGGCTTGGCGGACCTCCTTTGCCATCTCTCTTCTCTCCTTCTCATCCCTTCTCTCTCCCAGGGCTATACCTCCTTCTGGAATGACTGCATCTCTTCAGGCCTGCGGGGTGGCATCCTCATCGAGCTAGCTCTGCGCGGCCGGATCCGCCTGGAGCCACTCTCCATGCGGAAGAAGAGGCTGCTGGAGAGGAAGGTAAAGGAGGCGCAGGAGCTGGGCTGGGGCCCCAACAGACTTTGGGGCTCTGTCCACCCCAGTCAGGCTGCATGCCAGGGCTGGCCCCATTTCTTTGGGAAGGGAGCGGCAGGTCTGCATCCAGCCTGATGCCATGCTTCTGCTTTGTCCTTCCAGGTGCTCCTGAAGTCAGATGCGCCGACTGGTGATGTCTTGCTGGATGAGACCCTCCGACATATCAAGGCCACGGAGTCTGCAGAAACAGTGCAGACCTGGATAGAGCTGCTCACTGGTAGGGCCATTTAGAGATGCCATCTCCCCAGCTCCCTCTGGGCCTGTCCTTGTTTTCTGTCCCCTTTCAACAGCTTGGCCATCCCCTTGCTTCACTGGAGGTGGGCAGAATACTGACAGCAGAAAAGAGGAAGGCTGAATGTGGGGACAGAGAACAGTTTTCCAGGTCTCTTTTGTTGAGAGCTTGGTGGAAGACTTGGACCTTGCTCCCTATTGCCTCTCTTTTAATGTTAAGTCTTCACCAAGTCTGGAGTCCAAAGTCCTGGGTAGAAGGGGCTTTCCAAAGGGCTCTGCCCCAGGCTGCTGTGCCCTGTGGCCACTGGGAGCTTTGCCAGCTTGAACTGGTGGGAGAAGCAGGTCAGAGTCAGAGCAAAAGGGAGAAGGGGGTTCTTGCAGCAGGGACTGGTATCTGTGCAAGCACAGATCGTCCTGGGCTGGAAGCAGCCTGGGTACTGGGGTTGGGTGGCAAAGCTGTCACTGCCTCAGCATTGAACGGGGTCTTCCTCCCCTGCAGGGGAGACCTGGAACCCCTTTAAGCTGCAGTACCAGCTGAGGAATGTCCGTGAGCGCATTGCCAAGGCACTGGTGGAGAAGGGCATCCTCACCACAGAGAAGCAGAACTTCCTGCTCTTTGACATGACCACCCACCCTGTCAGCAATGCCAGCGAGAAGCAGCGTTTGGTGAAAAAGCTCCAGGAGAGCATGCTGGAGCGGTGGGTGAACGACCCCCACCGCATGGACCACAGGACTCTGGCTCTCCTGGTGCTGGCCCACTCCTCAGACGTGCTGGAGAATGTGTTTGCCAGCCTGGCAGACGACAAGTATGATGTGGCAATGAACAGGACCAAGGACCTCCTTGATATGGACCCCGAGGTGGAAGCTGCCAAAGCCAGGGGCACAGAGATGATCTGGGCCGTTCTGGCAGCCTTCAATAAGTCCTAAAAAGCCCCTGGGCCCCCCAAACCAGGGTGGGGAGCCCTCACCCCCTTGACACAAAGCCAGGGGTATTTGGGTACAGAGTTCCTGCAGCAGTGGGTGGGCTCAGCTCCAGGGGACCCTGGCAGGGGTGGGAGGGTGAGAGCCCAGCTGTGTGGGCAGGTTGCACACTTCTCCAAAGGCTGGTGCCTCCAGGAGAGATGGCGACAGCTCTTTGCTCCAGTGCTCCTTGCCTGTGGGCTTTCTTCTTGGGCCAGTGCGGAGCTGGGAGGTGGCCCAGCCCAGCCCTGCCTCTGTTTGCAGGTCAGCCCCAGGCCCCTGGGATGGGCCAAAGCCCGGCTGGGGTTGGGCTGCGGAGCAGCTCCCCAGCACTCCGGCTGGTCCAGCTGCCTCCCTGGCTCCCTCTCCTGTGCCCAGGTCTTGCCTGAGGGCTGCCTGAGCTTCCCCTCGGGATCACACCGACGGCCGCGGGGCTGGCTCGGGGGTGTCTGGCAGCTTGGGCCATCCCAGGTGCTGGTTGGGAAGCCCTTGGCTCATGTGGCCATGGAGGAGCAGCCATGGAGGCCATGGAGCCCCCAGGCTGTACTGCCCTCACTCCCGCTCTTTTTAGGTAGGAGAAAAAGTTAAACTGGGATATATATATTTTTTTTTAATCCCCCCTCCCCTTCTGCCACCACTTTAATCTGTAGTTCATTTAAATGTATTTCTCTGTAGCCCGAGGGAGTCTTGGGTGTTTCAATCCACCATCCCGCGGTGGGCTCCGATGGCGGGGCCGGCAGGGGCAGGGGGGCTGGCGCGGTGAGGGGCGTCCCCCGAGCCCACGGTGGCCCTTTTGCCAAGGTGCCGGCCGCTCTAAGCGCGATGTGCTGTCCCCTATGCCCCTCCCGCGCGGTCCGGACCCAGGGGCACCTTGGGCTGCCGGTGGCGGCACCCCGGGATCCGTTCGCCTCTCCGCGGGCTGTCCCGGGCCCTTTGCCCGGTGACGGGCCCCTCTTTCCCCCGGCGTCTGCCCGCCGCCGTGCCCACTCGGTGCCGCGGTGCGGAGCGCTCCTGCGGCAGGGCATGGGAGCCCTGGAGGGCGGTGCCGGAGCCCGGTCCCGGCTTCCGGAAAGGGGCGGAGGAGGACGGGGCCGGGGACGCCTTCGCGCGGCGCTGCCTTACTTCCCATTGGCCCCTCCAGCCAGGGTGGCCCCGCCCCGCCGCTCTCCCCGCCTTTCGCCGGCGCTGGTTGGTTAGGTGTGATGTCACTGCGGTCGCCTCCCTGTGCCCATTGGGCAGCGCGCCTGTCCGTCAGGCGGCTGAAGCGTTAGGGGGCGGCAGCGGCCATTTTGGAGGAGAGCGCGGGGCCGGAGGGAGCGCGGAGGCCTCCCCTGCCATGGCAGCCCCGCTCGGTACCGGCGCCCACGCGGAGGAGACAGGGCAGGAGAAACAGGTGGGGATCCCCGGGGCGGTCCTGGCTGGCTCCCATTGGCTCGGCCGCACGTCGCTCTTCACGGCTCTGTGCGCGACTGGTTGCTTCTGCTGTCCTTCTGGTGAATGCGGGTCTCTGTTTGGCTGTGGGGCTGGTGGGGGCTGGACTTCCGGCGGAGCTGTGGGGAGAGCTTCATCTCGATGGCGGCGTGGGGGCTGGGGCTGTTGGGACGGGGGTTCCCGGGAGCCGTGGGGTGCGCCCCGCTGCTGAGGGCCCGAGCCTGGCTGCCCCTCTTCGCAGGGCTGTGCCGGGGCGCCACAGCGCCCCCCGAACATCGCCGCTGGCTCCAGCCCCAGTTCCCCCCCCCCCCCCCCCCCCC